GTGCTCTGGCAATGAACTGGCAGGCTCTGCTCTCACGGGTGAGCTGCTCTGTTGAATAGAGAGCCTGACCCTGTCCCGACAGCCGTGTGTATGGCCGACCCGTGCCAGAGTGTGAGTGTCCCCACCCCCCAAGCCCTTCCCATGCCCCTCAGAGCCGCGAGCCCTTGAACCTCAGCCTAATGGCTGCGCTGCAGAGGCAGCTCTGGCTCGTAACCAAATTGGCCAGGGAGGAGGCCAGAGACAGCCTGGCTCATCCCTTGGCCCTCTCCAGGTGGCTCAAACTAAAAGCAGCAAGTATTGATCCTTATGCGGGTGGAGCAAGGAAACCTTGATCTCTTTCCAATAGTCCTCAACCCTTCGCGATCACAGCGACGGTCCCGGTTTCTCACAAGAGAAAACTGAGGCGAAAACAAGGAAAGTCGCTTGTGCAAGGTCAGGTGAGGCTGGAGGGATGTCGACTCCGCAGCCTGGTGGGAACCACTTCCTGCTCAAGATGGCGGCCAGCAAGATGGCGGCCCAGCCCCGAAGCCAGATGCGGGGCGGGACCCCAAGGCGAGGCCCACAGACGGCCAAGGGCGCTAGGGAATGTCCAGGGCAGGAGGGGAGGGCAGAGGGCGTGTTGGGCGCTGGTTACAGCACTCTCGTTTCTTCGTGTCGGGTTTAAAGACCTGCGGGTGAACAAACCATAGGTAAATAAATAATCAAGAAACATAAATTCCATCTCTCCTCAGCTTTCGTCCCGGCCGCTCTCTTTCGGCCCCTCTGGCCTCCTTATCGGGAGGGGCCTTGGCCGCGCTCACCTTCACCTGCCAGTTCCCAGTGGGGTGTACGTGTCTCCTGCCTCCCGGTGCTGACCCTCCCAATCCGCTTTAGGCCGTGGTTTTTCGTTTCCAGTAGCACTCGTCACCTTCTGCCCTGCCCCCTAGTCCCCGAGGGCTACTACCTGCCACTCAAAAGGGGTAAGACATTAACAACAACGCATTAAAACCAGAGGTGACCTCACAGAATCCATCACACATTGTTTTAACTTGAATGTCAGATTGAACTGTTGGGCCAGATTTTCCCAGTTCTGCACCCTGACTGTGACCTGACTGTGATGTTTTCAAACTTTTCGGGAAGGATATGAGATGGTTGCACTAGACTTAGTTGTAGTTTGAGGAGCGTCGAGCAGAAGTATGATTAGACTTGTGATATTGAGATTCTGAACTGTGGCTCCAAGTTGAAGACCCTCTCCCCCTACCAATTCCCGGTTCCTAAAAAAACTCCTCCTTGTGCCAGAAGCCACAGCCACTCTCCACTCTAGAGACATGCAGGCTGGACAGACATCAGTTCCAGGTGGAGGTGGAAGTTTTGATCACAGACCTTCAGGGGTTATCGGCTTGCAGCTCAGGTTTGCACAGGAAAATGAGTTTTGCTCAGACCCCTCTGGCCCCACCCCTGTTCCCCTGGTCAGTGATGTTGCTGGGCCATCAGGTAGTTACATCTTTAAGGCGGTTGTTTTTTTCACTGACCCATTTTAGCTGTTAAATTAGCCACGTGTTACAGAACCAACACTCTTCAAGCACAGAGTCCAGTCGGGAAACCCTCAGTACGAGTACACGTTTCATGCAGGGAGCAATTTTACCTGGAGTTGATTTCCAGAGCAAAAGGGAAAAGGGACAACCAAGATCGTTTATATAAACCACAGCTATGCTTCATGGCTATCACATCAAGGTCAAGGCAGGGATCGAAACCAAGTGGACATGGCAGGGACCTGGGCAGAAGACAATCAGGGGCACAGAAAAGGTTCCTAGAAAACTGCCGTCATTCTGCCCCCCATCAGCTCCAACTAAATATGCAAATCCCTGTGCTGACCTTCAGTTACACCTCCCATTTAAGATATTTGTTCCAGGCACACTTTTGTTGTAAATGCTTCCTCCAAAACCTCTCCCCCCTACCCCCTCACCCCGCCCCTGGTGATGGTATTTCCATTCCTTGGTGCCCAATTTTTAAAGCCAAGTGATCTAAGGATTAAATTCAGTCTAAGACAGGGTTGTTATTCATTAGTCCAGGGGAAATTAACATTTTAAAAGAGAAAGCCTCAAACATTTCACCTAAGTTAATGAAAAATGACAAACCTTTAGTAAAGGAATGTATCAGGCAACAGCTAAAAAGAAGACATATATGTATCTTGGACTCACACGATGTTCTGGCTACTGCATGAATCTTCTTCCCCGTACTGTCAGTGCTGTTCATTGAGTCCTGGATGGTGAGAAAGGCAGCAAATTCCCGGACCTGAGAATCAGACAAACATCACTGGCCTGGTGACTTCAACTGCTGCTCCTACAGATTTGCTGCAGAAGAGCCATTTTAAGAAGATACAAGCTAATATAAGAAGAACCTAAAAATAATGCAATCATTGTCAGAATAAGATATCTATCTCAACTAGGACTTAAGCAGCATCTTCCTTTGATATCTGTACCTACCCTGCCCCCATAGAAGTCGCCATTTTCCGTTAGTCTTCCAACAAAAAAAGGAAGCCTGTTTTGGAAGGAACAGACACAGACAGCAGGGGCCTGGGGACTTTTTTTTTCTAGTTCTGCCGTTTAGTAGCTATATTATTGCTATTTCTTAACCTCTCTGCACCTCAGTTTTCTGTCTACAAATTAAGGTTGGCATTTGCCACCAACCCACCCCAGGGATGTCATAGGATTAATGAGCTGGCTGTCAGGCCCAGAGCCTGCTGAGTGAGGCCACTTCCTGAGAGACCCCTCCAGCACCAGGGAGAGTAGGGAGAGGGGCAGGTAGGCAGTTTCCATCTGAAACTCCCAACCTGCCTTCCAGTTACTGGGTGAGAATTTTCCATGTTGAGTAGACACTCTGGAGATCAGTTTTCTCAGCGAAACCCCAGAACAGAATCTTGACCCTGTGTGTTAGTAGGAACCTGAGGGTCTTTAACCTTGAGAAATAACTAGAAACAGATTGGCAAATGCTTTCATTCTCTGGAAAAGGTCCCTTAATGCCCCATCTGAAGCTGCCACACCACTGCTTCCAGTTTCCATTGAGAGGCAATGATGTCTGCGGAGGCTCATTCTGTAGAGCTGGCCCCCCAGTTTCTGTGTTGAGGCGAATAATTGTGGCTGACTGAGGATAATAGCCCCCTGGGCTCCATTAGGTTCAACTTTAAATCTGTCTCCAAATCCTTTCCTTGTTAGATTAAACCCTCAGGGTACATGGACCTACCAATAAAAAGAAGCATCGGCAGCAGGATATCAAGAGCGCAGCCCTCTCCCAAGGAAAAGGGCTAATTGCCTAACAGCAGGTACAGCACCTTCAGCAGGGGAGATCTGTGACTAGGAGGGACAGTTACTCAAAGTTTAGTTAGAAAGTTTTCTTCCCAGCTCCTAGTCCTAGCATTCTGAGCATGATAAACAGGCTTATCTGCTTTCAACATGACTGTCACTTGCAACACAGGTGAAGCATCCGACCCAGGTCAGAATGACTCAGATTTTCCCATGAAGAACACTGAAGTTCAAAGAAACAAAACTAATGAACAAATAAAACCAAAACAACATCTTAACTATAAAAACAAAATAGTGGTTACCACATGGGAAGGGGGGAAGGAGTTGGGGCTCACTCAGGTAAAGGGGGTCGATTATATGGTGAAGGACGGACACCAGAGTTTTATGAGTGTACATAGAGTAGTAGACACATGTTGATTTATAAAGCTAGACACCTCAAACCTATAGAATGTTATAAACCAATGTTACTTCTATAAAAACTTTTTAAGAAGTGCACTGAAGTTCAAGCCAGATGAGTGACTGTCCCTTTTTGATTGGACCCCAGGATGTCACTAAACTCTTCCATGTCACAATTTCTCATAGATTATCAAGGGCAATAGATTCTGCCCTTCTGTCACAAGATGAATGAAGTGAACCGATACCCAAGAAACACTATGTGATTACTAAAAGAAATGAGTGGGGTTTTAAAAAACAAAATTCACTAACTTGGACATGAAAGGAAAGGGAAAATGCTTTACCCATATTTGTCAGAAATCCTTAATATAAAATGTATACTGAAGCAGTAACAGTCACCCCTTTCAACTAAGTCTATCTTCATTTAATTTCCAGTCCCTTATCCTATAAATAGCCCTTGGGACCATATGAATTCTACCAATTCTTTTTTTTTTTAAGATTTTATTTATTTTTGCATAGAAGAGCTGGGGTGTAGACCAGAGGTACAGGGGTTGAGAGGATTCACCAGAGACACTCATTTACAGGAAGACAGCTGAGTCTTCCTTTTTCAATTTCTTTGTTCCTCAACTGTTGACTCACATCTGAGCACGCTCCAAGGTGGCTCTATGGCCTATGGAGGAGGATGATGGGTGGTTTGGTGGTGGAAGTGGTGTGGAAACATTCCTCTGAAGAGGTGTGAACCTGTGCTCTTAAATCATATAGTGTTGTAAACCAATGTTACCTGAAAAAAAAGAAAAACAAGTTTTTTGTGTCATACTCCATATATGGTCTGATGGGTACAGAGTACAATGAGATTATCACTCTTGTTATAAATGGTGCCCTTTTTTAATCACAGCGGAAATGTACTTGTTAGTTCCATTTGTTAAAATCTCACCTGCCTATCCAAACCATTCCTCACCTGTAGTTGCGCAGTTTGTGGCATCAGATAAAAGGTGTAACATTTAGAACCTAATGCCTGACTTAGGCTCTATTTCATTATAGCGACAGAAGGGAATACCACTTTAAATGTGAGCTCACGCCCCACCTCCTGCAGCCTTGTAAAAGCAAGCGCCACCTTGCATCAGCTTTGGGTTTGTTTATTTCGCCGCTCTAGCGTGGGAGGCCCACAAAGCCCCGCCCCCAGAACGCCCGGCCCCGCCCCCTCCCCGGCGCCCCGCCCACTCTCGGTCCGGGTGGGAAGACTGGCGCGGCCGCTGATTGGCTGGCGGGGGCGCAGCTTGATGGCGTGGCGGGCGGGCGCCAGTCCCGGCGGCGGCCCCGGGCGAAGGCCGCCTGCTGGAGCGGGCCGGTGCCCGAGCGCGCTAGTGCGGGCCGCGGAGGCGCGCGCCCTCCTTCCACTTCCCAATGAGTTTCCTGATCGACTCCAGCATCATGATCACCTCCCAGGTGAGCGCAGCATCCGGCCCCGGCCCTGCCCGCCTCCGGCTCTCCAGCCGCCCTTCGGGGCTGGGCGGGGAGCTCGCCCCGCGGCCTGCGCCCGCCGGTCCACAGCCGAGATCCGAGGCGGCGGGCTCGCTGCGCCCGGGGCGCGCGCCCTCTCCTGCGGGCCCCGGCCCCACCCGGCCGCCACCCTAGCAGCCGCGTCCCCCTCGGGAAGGACCGGGGCCTCAGCGCCCCGAGCCGGCGCCGGGAGCACCCCGGCCTCCTGGACTGCGCCCCGCGGACCCGGCGCTCCGGGAAGGGCGGGTCCGCGCGCCCCGTGCACGCTGCGCCAATGGGTACTGGCTCCTGGGGGCACGTGAGGGCTGCGCGTCCGGTTGTCAAAGCCTGAATCCGGGTGCGGAGGCATTTGTCGCTGTCACTTCAGAGATCTTCAAAATCTGAGTTTCATTTGTGCACTCACACCTCGGTCTTATCCCTCTGTTTGCTGCCCGTGCGCTCCGAGCCTTCCTTTCTTCCTACTTGACCGCCTTCATTCATTCGTGCAGTCAGCAGGTCTGTGTCAACCGTCGGGTAAAACTGAGCACAGAGCATGCAGCAGACGCCGACCGTCCCGGCTTTAGGAAGCGTCGTCCAGGGAGCCTCCCACTTTGCCACGTCATTTGTTGAGTTCCTCTGTTATCTTCCTAGCGTTCCTCATTGCACTGATATCACTTAGGTATTTATGAATTTATTTTTCGAGATGAGATCCTGTCTTGTTCATAGCTGGATCCCCCCTCCAGGTGCAAGCATGCCATAAATATTAGCTGGACGGCTGTTAATATCAGTAGCAGCTCAGAATACTTAATATTGAGCCCTCCCTCTTCCTCCCCCTTTTAGGGGGTCTAAAGTGAACTAAATCTGCAGAAGACACTTAAGTGTAAGTAGTGGCTGGTTAACTCGGGACTTCATTCTCCATGAGGCTTGGTCTGTGTTCCACTCTGGCACTCACGCTTATCGAGGGCCTGTTCCCCAGTCTTTTAAGAGACATTAAGTCACCATACCAAAATATAATTAATCCCATTTCAGAATCAGCAAGTCTTTATAACAAGAAAATGAACAAAGCATTAAATTTTTTTTTAAAAAATAAACTAAATCTTTGCTTTCTGATCCAATTTTCATTTTGCTTCCTCCTTTGGCTTCTGTCTTTAGAACAGAGCATTCATTGTGCTTGTCTCTCAAAAAATTTTTATTATAACTTTTAAAAATATCAAACAACACTCTAATAATTTTTTCAGTTGTGTTTATTTACTGTCCTTTGCACAGCTTTCATAATTTGTAGTTTGTATTGGCTGCTTAATATTCAAAAATATTGATGTACAGAATCTGGGCATGTAATTAGTTACCTTGCTTAAAACTTTTCTAAGACTCAAGAAAAATTATACTATTTAAGAAAGCGCAACAAAAATAATATTATTTAAGTAACTTTTTTTCCACTCATTCAAAAGAAAAATAAGAATGCCAGTGAGGAAATTGTCACTGCACTAAGATTTTTAACATGGATAAAATTGATTGATAAGTTGAACCAAGAAAACGACTTTCTAATCTTTTATGCCTTACAGTCAAATAACATTTTAATTCCCACGCCTGAATTTACATGCAGTATTAATGTCATTCTCAAAACCTTCTCTTTACAAATGGAGAACCAAGACTGCTCCCCACTGTCTCTGATGGATCCTCTCACTCTCCGCACCTCTGGCCTACGCCCTAGTTCTTATATGCATAAATAAATAAAAATAAATCTTTAAAAAAAATGGAGAACGAAGACCCAAAGAATCCTGTGTATGGAATGTTCTGTCCAGACTTTTTGTGGCTACTTTATCATCATTTAGTTACCAGTAAAAATGTCAGGAAAACTTTGCCTAACACCCTACTCCCCAGTCAAAATAGCCCCCATTCCAGCCATCTTCTACCTCATTTTCCTATTTTATTTTATTTTCAGCATCTGTCACTGGTGTTTGGGGGTTTGTTAGCTGTGTACTCCCTGAAATCCAGGATATTTTCTTTCTTGTTCCTTGCTGTCCTCCCCAGCATCCAGACCAGTTACTGACACATAGTAGAGGCCTGGTAAGCATTTAATTAAAAAAGTACCCTCCAGTGTAGCGTGGTTTCCTTGGAAACAACACCGCCCCTCCTTTTCCCTGTGTTTATGAATTGAAATATTTGTTTGAAATGAAATCAGAATCAGAGGTTATATATTGAAATGGGTCAGCCCCAGGCAACATCTTGACGTGCAGATTTGTGATTTCTGGGGTCCTCTATTGACTCCCTGGCTCGGTCTTCTTCAGCAGTGGCTCTCACCATTTCCTCACTCCACTTTATGCTCAGCTTTACTAAATTTCTTCTAACTCCTTAACCTGGCCATGCTGTTATGCCTCTAGATTGACACACAGTCACTTCTCTCTTCCGTGTCTTTTTCCCATCCTCCTCCACTTCTTTCTCCTGGCAAATTCCTATTCAGTCTTCAGATCTTAGCGTGGATACCCACGGGGCCTCCCCAGACTGAACTCGATGTCCCTATACATGCTTTCTTAATGCCCTTTGCTCACTTCCCTAATAATAGCCCTATCACATTGTTTTGTAATAACTTATCTCCTCCAGAGGTTATCAACTCCTTGAGAATGTCTGCTCCCATATTCGCCATTCTATCCCTAGTGCCCAGTACATATTAGTCACTAAGAAGCATTTAAGTGAATAAAAAGCTAAAATGATCCACAAAAGGGGTATTTTCCCATCAGTTCTGTACTAATTTCTGCAGAGACTCCCCCCCGCCAAATCTGTAGTTAATTTTCAATTGAGGAGTCATTTTTCTAAAAGCAGCTGTTATCTAACTCATGTTTTGAGCTTTCTGTACAGGCAAAAGATTTATCAGTTCCAAAGTGCACGTAAGTTCCAAGGTTAAGATTCTGCTCTGCATAATTTTAAAAGATATTAATTCCCTTGTTAAAATAAGATGAGCACTTTCCATTTTTTATTTATAAAATATTTAAAAATGTTTTTTCCTTCTATATGCTTTTGAAAGCTCTGTGATTTCACTAGAATTCATGTTAATCTTGGATGTAATGAATTCTCCAGTTACTGTTTTTCACATTCATGTATCTGCTTAAACTTTTTGTCAATATGGAAGGAGTCCACAATGAAATATTAAAGATATTTCTCTCTCTTTTCTTTTTCTCTCCCTTCTGAACCCCTCATATAGACTTCACTCTTAATTATTTCCTTTTCTTGTCTGAAGTCCCATTTCAGGGTGATCCTGGTGATATTTGTTATTCTGTTTTTTATCATCCATGTCCACCAATCCCATTCTAAATGCCCAACTTCAGTCATGACTTCGTAAGTCATATCAACATGATCTCTAAACTCTGGATTTAAATGTCTCTACTAGTGATTATTTAGAATAACCCAAGGATCTCGTGGATGCCCTCAGTGTATTTTCTCCTCTTCTGTTTGTTCCATTCCTCTCCTCTTTAGTCTGGGTTTCTAGTCCACACTCATACCCTCTTGTTTCTTTACCTACATACAAAGGGCCACACTTGGGTCACTGCTAGAGTTTGTCTACTACTAATTCAGGCTCAGAAGGCTACTGTGGAAAATCTCATGAGCATGCAGATTGTGGCGCTCGGCGTTTGTGGACACCCTCAGCTTGCTGCACGGTTCATTTTCTTGACCTTGATTTGCTCCATTCCCCTCATAATCCTTCACTTTCCTCAGAGCCCTTTTTCCATCATCACTTTTCTTCCTCTCAGCAGATGACTTTGCCGCCTATTTTTCAACAAAATTGAAGCCAAAAGGTGTGATTTCCTCCTTTCTACACATAGGCAGGTAGAAGATTACTTAGATTAGTTATATATATCTCTATCTACAAGCATCTGGTGTCAGAAAAAGTGCCCTGCTCCTGTTTAAGGCCATCCTCTCTGCCTGTGCACTTGGCTGTGGAGCAGCTTTTTGTGATTAAAAACACAAGCTTTGGGATCAGGCTTACAGGCCTCAGCCTGAATCCTAATTCTGACACTATCAGTGGATTAACTCCGTAAGCTTCAACTTTCTGTGAAATGAGAATCAAACGTAACACATCAGAGTTTTATGATTTAATGAGATTACAACGCTAAATACTCAGAGTGCCTGGAGCATAGCAAATGGTCAATTCATGTACTCCCTGCTTTTTAAAAGTTTGTTTTACGTCACTTTTTACAAAAGGCCTTGTAGGGTAAATAAATTAATCATGCTTGTTACGCCACTAGCCTCTATGGCTCTCACCTGCGGCCTCCATCGTGTTGGTCAGAAGGCGTTTGGGAGCGTGGGCGCCTGTGTAAGTGTGCACACCTGACCCTGGAGGCCAGGCTAAACGCAGCAGCTGTGGCAGCTACATGGGACGAGCGGCGTGACTACAGAAGAGGGAGGCCCAAGACGACTTGAGAGAACGCCAGAGAGAGCCCAGGGAACAGGTTAAGATTCTCGGGCCTGGGAGGCTCAGTTGCCTCCTGAACCTCCCGGCACCCCTGCCCGGCACCCCTGCCTGGCACCCCTACCTTGCCTGCCTGCTGCCTGTTTGCCCAACAGACCTACATTAGTAGCTGTTTTCATTAACAAAGAAAGCCAAGGAGATTTTTGCTTTTATGACAAAGGACAGAAAGAAAACAGCGCTCAGCAGCAGCTCCGAAACAGCGGCACCGAGAGCCGGCTGCCGCTCCTGCCCTGGGAACGCGTTGTACACGTTGTTCATCTGCTCGCTCCTGCTTTCACTGTGTGCTGGCATTGTTTTCGGTTTCATGTGTTATTTTGGTATGATTTGGTAGGTTATTTTGGGGCTCTGGGAGCCATCAAAAATTGTCCCACATAAATTATGTTTCATCACTTTATGCCGTTTGGACTTGGGAAGGTTTCATGGGAATGCTCTGCTCAGCCGTGGGGGACTAGTAATCAGACCAGGTAATGACAGCGGCCTCCGCCCTTCGGTGTTCTTTCCTTCTCTCACGTGGGTCCCACTTTCCTTGCTTCCCCTTGGGCTCCCAGCTTTCCCTGGGCCCTTCATTCTTCTCTAGGCTACTATGGAATGTTCTCTATCGTTCTTGCTCTCCCTAGAGTAACATGCTTATTGTCGCTAGTGTTTCCACCCCCACCCCATTCACCTACAACCCGCAACAGCCGGCTTCCTGCCTCCATCGCACCATGCAAACTTTTTTCCTTAAGTTCATCATGACCTCCAAGTTACCGGATCTTCTGAACATTTTTGGGTCCTTGTTTTATTGCCCCTCTCTGCTTCATTTAATACTCCTTTAAACACTATCGCCTTGGTTTTAGGACCCCACTCTCCTGGTATCTCTTATACCTCTCACCATTACTTCTGTCTTCTTCCTGCTTTCTTCCTCCGATTTTACCATCTTGTCTCCTCGGCATATTGCTCCTTACTGCACATCCCACTCCCGGTGGCTTCATCTCTTAGGTGTATCTCAGGCTTGTCTACATAATTTATCTTTTATTCAAATACTTGCTGGATATGTTGACCGTATGGCCCTCTGGCCCTTAACATGGTCAGCAAGGTCGTGGGAAAAGGACTGTACCAGCGGTGCCACCTTTTTTCAAGCTCCGGGCTCTGCATCTTTTCCAGAGCTTCCCATTGCGCTGCGCTGGGGATGAGTATCCGGAGACCATGGTCGGGAGGAGCCACTGCTAGGAGGGCCCAGGGAAGAATTTGCCATTTTCAGTGGAAAACAAGCAACGGTTCCAAATTACCATGACTGTGTGCTTTGCTTCTGAATTTGCTGCACCTGACTTTGTAACAAGACACCAGCTACTTAAGAAATAAGGACATTTTAGTTCATCCCTGAGAGGATCGTGTTAAGAAATGCAGTCTCTTTGAAAAGCCAAACTCGTAAACTCAGCATACTAAATGTCTCTTTAAATAAACCTATGGCATGAATCCTGAATGGCTTTTCTCTGAAATATTAAAAAAATTAAAATTAAAAAATAATAAAAGTGAACTCATCTTCCCCACCCCCGTTGCCAAACTTTTCCTTCCAATATTCTTATAGAATTTGGGTGGTCTTATCAGCCTGTGCTCCAGACTCATCGTTTTTCACCTCTCCTTCCTGCTTTTGCCTTTTAAGTAGGACTCAAATCTGTTGCCTCCTCTCCAGCCAGTAGCATCTTAATTCATCCCGTTCTGTCTCTCGCTGGACTGCTGCAATAACCTATAATGTTTCTCTTTCTGCAGTGTTGTTTCCTTCAAATACATCTTCCACAGAGCCAAATACTGCTCTGTGGAAACAAACCTGACTGTGCCTTTTCCCATGAAGTTGGTTTTTTAAAAAATATTTGCAAATACGGTCATCTGTAAGAAGCATGTTACCGGGTACATTTTTAATTGGCTAACTTCTCTAATCTCATGAGCTGTGTTTTATAAGAAAAATAGGCAGCTTAAATTTTCGTCCGACTTGAAGTATTCTAAAATGTGAATAATTTTAAAACTTGAAGAGCATTTCAGCATCTACTTGCATCACTTTAGTAAGTCCTCAAAAATGTAATCTCTGAAGTGAGCTCGCCGTCTTTTTAGCATGTTACTATAAGATGGTCTGTGTAAAGCAGTTCTCACAACAATATGTACATAACATTTTATCTTCTTTCTCTTCCAGATTCTTTTCTTTGGATTTGGGTGGCTTTTCTTCATGCGCCAACTGTTTAAGGACTATGAGGTGAGAAAACATCATTTAGGTTATGCTCACACTACCCGAATTTAGATTGTTTTAAAATAGAGCAATAAAAATACCTACATTAAAGAAAGATCACGTTCACGTCAAAGATAAGGAAGTTTTTCCATGAGTACTGTATAATTCTTTAATTAGAGAATATGATTAGACTGAGTTAATTTAAAAAGAAAAAGGCAAGTCATTTATAGCCCAGAAGCCTGGAATAAGAACTGCCACACCTTACTCATATCAGTGAATACACCCATAGCAGATAGTCTTCGGGAGAGAATTAATGTCTCATAAATCCCTATTCAACCGGGTATCTGACTGTCAATGTGAATTACCAATCATACATCCTAAATTAATACCAAAATTCTTAAGCCTTGAATTTAGAAAACTCCACCAGCTAGACTGAATATTTCATAATTAACCCTCATTTGTTAGACTGCTTTGAGGTAATTTCTAAGGTGTTCTCCGTTAGCCCTCCCCAGGGAGTTTTGGTTTAGTTTCTGGAGCCCCCTTACTCTAGAGATTTTCTTTAGCTCTGCTGTTATGGCCCTGTTTCCAGTGACTAGAGAATTCCTTCAAAATAAGTTCTCTGGCCTTAATCAGGAGTTATGAGCTCAGTATTTCAGACGAGGAAATGACTTTTAGTCTATTTGGCTTTTAACAGGTGCGCCAGTATGTCGTGCAGGTGATCTTCTCTGTGACTTTTGCATTTTCCTGCACCATGTTTGAGCTCATCATCTTCGAAATCTTAGGCGTGCTAAATAGCAGGTGAGTAAGGGTGCTAACTATCTCCCCTCTTCAAGCCACGGATGTTACTCTCTTTACAGTGGTAGACCTACCTGGATCCCATAGCTAAGAAAATCCAATGTTAGTTGCAACTATAATAATCACAACAAATCAGGTCTCTAGTCACTGGTCTGACAAAGATTGTGAAATTGCAGGAGGAAATAGCTGACCATTTGCTCGGAAGGACTCATTGAGAATGAGACCTTGAGTGCCTTGGTCCCAGACTTCTCTCCTAGAAGTTTTATTTTTCTCGGCTGCTCTCTGACTGATTCCTAATAATGGCCCTTCACATTGTTCTGCTGATTAAAAATTACCTATCTGGAGCAATCAGAATTCCTTAGAGCTAGTTAAGGAATTTTCTGAAGTCTGAACATGAGTTCTTAGTGGCCTTTTTTCTTTCCCAGGGATGATCAAGTCTGATTGAACTCAGAGTGTTCTTTAAGGCATTTTTTTGTTAGCTCATTAAACAGACTAATATATTTCTTGCCTGTTAGACTTGAGCTTAAGGTTTTTTAGGCCAATGTTTATGTGTCGAGTACTTCTGTTATTCTATTAAACTTAAGTACCTTTTTTTATGACTACGTAGAAAAACTTTTAAGAACAAAGCGATATGAATATAAATGAAGTATATGAATTTGGAGTTTGACTCTTAATCAGGAGTCAGTGCTGAGCTAAGCTGTATAACTCATATAGACCCCCAAACATTTGGAATTTATAGAGACTGTATTCTCCAATATCTTTTTTAATAATCGGAGTTGATAATTGTGATTTCTTGATAGATAAATTAAGAAATTATAGTATAGGGCCTCCCTGGTGGCGCAGCGGTTGAGCGCTGGGTTGCGAAGCTGCCCGCAGCCTCTGCAGTGCCGGTTCGATCCCCAGCTGCTCCCCGGCCCCCGGAGGAGGGTCCCACATGGTGCGCAGACCTCTCCTGCCGCCCGCTGCTCCCCTCAGCAGTGTATTTCTTCGTCAGTCTGCCTGTTCTGTTCCCCGCTCTGGCTCTGGTGAATTCTCTCACCCTCCCGTGCTTCTGACTGTACCCAGTGCTTGTATAAATAAATAAATAAATCTTAAAAAAAAAAAAAAAAAAGAAATTATAGTATATTAAAATGGATATGTTCTGCCTCTCTGCTTTTAAGCTTGTTATTTATCTATCCACTTTTTGGGGCTGAGCTGGATACAGATCTGTAAGGAAAATGAAGTAACTCAGACTCTTTCCCACCTTCCCATTGCTAGTCTATACAGCTGCCTGTGGCCTTGCTTTCCTCCCAGGTTGCATTACCTACATGTGGTATCATGCTGTGGGAGGCAGGGCGCTTGGGAGCATACGCACGGGGCTTGCTCACCTGTGATTGCGACTCCGGGCCAAAAAGCCAGCGAGCATGGGGCCTGTGCATATATAAATACAGACACCTGGGCCAAGAAGCCAGAACTACAGGAGAGAGAAAGAGAAGATTGAGAGGGGAGAGAGAGAAGAGAGGACAGAGAGGGACCCCGGAGATCAGGGGGGCTCAGTTGCTGCCCCCCTGCCTGCTGGCCTGCCTGTGAGTCCAGTCTGCTGATTCAGCATTGAAGGGACGTTAGAGATACCAAAGACTCAAAATTTTCTTTCCATCTGCCCAAGTCAACAGTGAACCTGCCCAGTCTGGGATGGGCAAGATCAAGAATAGGCAAGTGTTATTTTGCCTAGTAGTTATTTCGGCAACTATTTTATTTTATTTCACAACCCGTAAGTTTCACTGTTATCTAAGCAGAGGTCAGCAGACTTTTTGTTATAAAGGGCCAAATAGTAAATTTTGTAGGCTCTGTGGGCCGTATTCTTTCTCTCAGCTCTTCTTGTTGGGCAAAAGCACCCCTAGGTACTGTATCCCAATAAAACTTGATGTATAAAATCAGGTGGCTTGCAGGCCGTAGTTTGCTGGCTGCTGATCTAAGCAGTGATAGAAGAAACTGCCGCCCATATCTTCTAAAACCGAAGTTACTGGTTTTGGTAGATGATATCCTCCAACTTTTAACTTCTTTATAACTAATAATCCCACATAGTAAGGCACATCACTCAGCTACTTTGATGGATGTTCCTTAAACAGTTTATATTAAATGGTATAGGATGTCACATTGCTAAAGTCTGGTTCTTTGGGCGCTTTATGGGGAATTCAGTCTGTATAGGCTGAGATATGTCTTTAATTATATCTATATTTTTCATACTTTTGGCCCTACTGTATAACAGAAATATGAGCCTTGACCATCTATCTGCATTGACTACGTTCAGAATAATTTTCTTTAAAAAAAAAGATATTAAATTTATTTATGCATACAAGAACTAGGGTGTAGGCCAGAGGCGTTGGGGTGGGGGGAGGTGAAAGGATTCACCAGAGACAAAGTGGGGAACGGAACAGGCAGATCTACTGAAATACACTGCTGAGAGGAGCAGTGGGCTCAGTGGGTGAGACAGAAGAGGTCTGTTATGCCTTGTGGGTCAGCTCCTGGCTGGGTTCAAACTCAGGCAGCAGTGGCTGGCAATAGCCCTGCATTCAGAATAGTTTTCAAAGGAGAGCCTTGCCCTTGATGAACAGTATTCTTTCGACTCACCACTGAGCAGATGTAGTATGGCCTTTTATTCAAACATGTAATCTTGTAAGGGTTCTTAATTTTCTCAAGAGAATGTTACTTTACTGTCAGCTTAAAAAGACAGTGAAAATACATGGTTCACTTTTAATTGGCAACCTGGATTGCACTTGTCATTTCAAACGCGCTGCCTCCCAGGATCTTTCACAGTTTAGCTGAAATCATGATTGCCTGGAGGATGTAACTCATTTGTTTCTCTAGTTGCTCCTAACTGGGCTAATCCAGATGAGCAAAAGCTGTCAGTATATCTAGACTTAATGGTATTGGCTCCCTGTAGGGCAGCATTTCCTGAAGAGCTTTTTGTTTTCCTGCCATATGTACTGAGGGAGAAAGAGCAAGAAACGGCCCCCAAAAACCCACTGATATTTCTCTAGAAAGGATGTGGTGGAGGACATGTTAGTTGCCCCCACATTTTCTGCTTTATGAAATCTTTGGAGAAATTTCATTATGATCTTGGTAATAATTCAGCAGTAATAAAGCAGTAGTAATTATGCTCCCTTTAAGCACTCAGTTTGTTTTTCTTACGGACACTGTGATTTATCTGGCTGATCATATCTATTCATTACACTATCCTGCTGTATCTATCTGGTTCCTTATAACAGAAAACCAAATCTACTCTAACTAGTTTAATGAAGAAAATGATAGATTGTAGAGTAGTAGCGCATTCATAGAATTTCTCAGAAAGCAGTACATCAACTTAAATATGACATTTTCTATTTCATGTCAACCATTAGAAAACTAAAAATGTTTTAAAAACTTAGATTTATGGTCCCCACCCCACCCATAGAAAGTTTCTAGATCTCTATGGAATCGTGTGCTTGGTGTGTATTTTCATAACAGCCACGAGACCTGGGCCGATAGTTCAACTGTTCACCATTGCTTTTCCTTTCATTTATATCTCCTTATGTTTTGTTTCGTCATCCTATATTTTTTAATCTTTATAAGCCACTTAACCTCTTTTGAAACAAGGCCTAAGTTCAAAAAGTCAGTAAATACAAAGGACACCATCAGGAAAGTGAACAGCTATCTCAAGAATGGGAGATGATTTTTGTAAATCACGTATCTGATAAGGGGCTCTGTCTAGAATAGATGAAGAACTGTTACAACTTAATAATGAAAAAGCAAAGAACGCTGGAGAAGGCGAAAGATACTGAAAAGTGCCACCTTCCTTGCCTCCCAGTGATGGTCTGGGCCTTGTGTTTCAGCTCCCGTTATTTTCATTGGAAAATGAACCTGTGTGTGATTCTGCTCATCCTCGTTTTCATGGTGCCTTTTTACATCGGCTATTTCATCGTGAGCAACATCCAGCTCTGTGAGTATTTTATCCTCCATGTCGGTGCATGGGTGGAGAGGCGTATTCGCAGAGATGGAGATGATTGGGAGCTTCCTGTCTCCATTATTTTCAGTAGCTGCCGGGGGGCAAGGAACACCCTAGAGATGAGCATGAAGTAGATGTGGAATGGATGGTTAGGCTGCTTGTCCGGCCCTGGCTTTATTTCTGTGTCTGCTCTAATGTCTCCCTGAACTCAACCCACATCGTAATCTCAGCCAGATTATAGTTTATTTACAGTATGGTAAGGATGCTGTTTCTGAAATTGTATTGTTCCATCACTCGATTCCCAAACGAGCAAGCCAGCCAAATGGTAATTATCGTGATACCCGGCCTGTAAGTAAAGCAAGCTCTTGACACACGCCCTGAGCTGATTGCGCTCTTCTCTCCTTCCTTAGTGCGGAAACAGCGGCTGCTGTTTTCCCTGTCTCTTGTGGCTGACCTTTATGTATTTCTTCTGGAAACTAGGAGATCCATTTCCCATTCTCAGCCCTAAACATGGTAAGTATATGTGTAGTAAGGAGGAAAGGACTGTTTATAATTTTCTGGTTTTGAAAAAAATTGTTCCTTTAAACTTCTGATTGTGGGAAATGTAGTAAGTGATTTCTCTGAAAAAAAAAGTCTGGTTTTGAAACAAATTTTCTCTTCATCATCATAGGAGATGTCAAATGCCAGTGTTGGAACAGACTTCCATCATTTTATTTCTTTTTAATATTTTATTTTATATAATTCTTACATCACTTTTCATCTTTGCACAATGTATGCATTTTCATTATGGTTATAGTCCCCATACAATTGCACCCCCCCCCCCTTATTTTGACTCTAGTCCTTCCTCTCCCCGCCCCGATCTCCGCTCCCCCCCCCCCCCGCCCCCGACCTCTCCCCACCGTAGTGTCAGAATTCTGTCATTGTAAAACAAGAGTTTTGGTCTTAGGTTAGTGAATAAACTCTGAGTGTGAGGGCTAGAGGAAGGTGTCTGTAGGTTAAATTTCCTGGTGTTATGTGCAGACTTGTGGGGAGCTACTTGTAGGTGCAGCTAGACATGAGGTACCCGTAACTTTTATCAGATTCCCAAAGGGTTCTCTGACCCAAAAGGTAAATGTCCTCTAGTCAAGTGATAATAGAGATTGTCTTTATCAAGGGCATATATTTTGGGGAAGAGTAGTAAATAAAGAAAAATTTTCTAGGAATCAGTATCTCTTCTCACACAAAAAGTTTAAGTACAAAAATAGGTCATGGACAGAACCCTAAATTCTGTGCTGAAAATAATAACCAAAAATCCCTCAGCTAATAAGTTCTTCTATTTCAGAAATAAATACATGAATCTATCTATAATAGACTATAAATCGATCTATAATTGCACTATAATAGTTACTTATACTTTTCCAGCAAGTTTACTTCCCAATTATTTTTGCCAAAGCTTTTGCTAAAAGTATGTTGCCTTGCTGGAGTTCACACTTCCTTGGATAAATGAAGTGTTATTTATAGTTATTGTTGTTATTTTACTATTAGCATCACCCAATAATACAGACAATTCTGGAAGCATATGGGCTAGGGAGAAAATTAGTAAACTTTCATGTATTATAGAAAATCTACATCTATGGAATTATATGTTGACATATTTAATGTACTATGGAGTACATGCTATATATCACTATATATAAAAATTTGGCTAGTGTGAGCCAATCATCTTGGTGATGTCAGTGGTGTTGCCTTTTGCCCTTGAAAGCTGGATACCGGCAGCAATTGTGCCAAGACTGCCTGCCTGTGTCTACACAGGCATCTCTTTTAACACCCCTGTCCCTCTCAGAGGCAGCTTCTCCTGCCCATGTGTGTCTGTGCGAGCATCTTCTCTTCCTTTCTTTTTTTAATACAATAACCTGCCCTTTTGGATATTTAAAAAAAAAAAAAAAAAAAAAAAAGGCAAGCCAGCCGGTGCTGATATGTGTGGTTTTCCAGGGATCCTGTCCATAGAGCAGCTCATCAGCCGGGTCGGCGTGATCGGGGTGACCCTCATGGCTCTTCTTTCTGGCTTTGGTGCCGTCAACTGCCCGTACACGTACATGTCCTACTTCCTCAGGTACAGACAACTGTGACTCTTCCTTTTCTCCCATTGCTTCTTAAATGCATGTCATGTCACACCACCCTCGTGAATTGTTAAATATGAACCTCTTCTCAGCCTCTTGGATAAGATCAAGTGTAGAGTCTGTTCTTACCAGCTTTATAGTTAAGTGTGAAATCCATGACACGGCCTTTTTATTCTCTCCCTCTTTCCTTATGGGATTTGACTAGAAATATCTATAAGTAAGACTCATCACCTATATTGCTTGCCCCTTTTATTTATTTCTAAAGCGGCAATTTAAATCTGGCCCTCTCCACCCACCTCCTCATCCCCACTTTTTAAAAGCACGTTTCTAATGGGTAGTGCGTGAACTAATCCCAACTAAGTTGGGATTAGTAAATCAGTTCCTCCCAAAAGAAGACAATGCCAAATTATAGGTATATGTACACGTGCCCCCTAAATGTCACTGGACCAAAGCGAGAAAGGCTGTAAGAGAGCTAGCTAACCCTCCACGGCCTTGAGAGCCCAGAAGTATCAGCTATAAAAAAAAATCACAGCAAAAGCATTTTTCTTACGATAGTCATTATTCTCTAGAAAAAGACCCTTCAGTTATAGGGTAGCCGTTGAGGTTTATTATGCTTTATGTGACCCCAACACATTGCTAATAGTTTACACATATTACAGGAATGTGACTGACACAGACATTCTAGCCCTGGAACGGCGACTGCTCCAAACCATTGACATGATCATCAGCAAAAAGAAAAGGTAAGAGATCAGCGCATTAAAAAACTTGTACTGTTAAAATCTCTCAAGAAAATCTATGATTGGTGCTGTCAGGGAATTTCATCTTACCCATTTTTATTACAAGTTAAGGTACCATCAAAGACTTAGTGTCTAGTGTGAAAGAAAAGTTTCAAATTCAGGTTTATTTCCTCACTTTAGATAAATTCTCTTGGTGTAAATTGTTAGACTAGCTTTTGTATTTGAAGGTCTTCTACACTGGATGTTTTCAAATCTGTTCTGCATTTTTACAAACTTGTTCATGCCTCGCTTTGATCTATTCAACTTGCTTTGCTCCAACTACTTTTAAAATTCCTTCAAATCTTCAAGCCCTTGTTGTTTTTATTACTTAAAAAGTACTAGTAAATATGTTTTCAAAGTGACATTTCTAGAATCTATCACAGTGGATGAAAGCGTAGACTTCTGAATTTGCATCCTGGTCTCCATCTTGCAGTGTGGCCTCCAGCTGGGTGCTTTATCCCTTGTGCCTCATCTGTAAAATGGAAATGGAATAATGAATTGCAAAGTACAGCTCTTAGGATAGTGAACCATACACAGCTAAGGAAACTATTGAGCTTATTAATAATCCCAGCAGGACAGTCATTATTTTAATGCTTTGCCTTCATTTATCCTTTCATATTTTTCACTGATAAATTCTAGAAAGACTCCTTATGCCAGGCACTGTGCTAGATGCTGGAGGTGGAATGATGAGCAAGATAATCAGTCCCTACCTTCATGAAGCTTACTAATCTCCTGCCTTCATTAACATCGCTATTACATAAAATGTAAATGTAACACAGAGGTCTTAACTTGTATGAGGTGATTTTGTATTTCATGTTTCTTTCTTTGACACTTTAGTAAGAAGTCTTAAAGACAAGATCACAAGACAGTAGATTGATAGAGGCCCAAATTCACCAGCTAAATATTTGTCACCCTTTCTATACAGATTTGTTAGGTTATTAGAAGTATATATACGTGTATACACTTATTTACTTTTATGTTTTGTTTACATTAATTATATACAGTTTACCTTACATAAATGAATATGAATGCAGATTTTTAAAATACAACAATATGAGCAACATGACTTAATATTGAAAGATACTTATATAGGAACAGTACTATTTTGATTCCCAAGATTATTCTCTTTTACTACATTTCTTAACTCATATGAGGACATGAATGTAGCCATGACTCATGTCAAGTGTAGATGTGAACTTTTAAGCCATTTCATTACTAGTCCTGCTCGTCCTTGTCTCGTCAGGATCTGGGGCGGCTTGTCGTCCCACAGTGGGTCTTACCCAAGTGACTCTCAGAAGATCCCACCTCTCAACCTGACCGAGTTATCCCGTCCTTTGTGGACACCAACCTGGGGCTTTAGGATTGCTCTCTACCAAAATATAGAGCAGCTGTTCTCACAAACACTCGCACTTGTGAAGTAGCAGGGACTAGATAACCATCTTTAGATTTAACAGCAGAGGGCTGTAGTGCAATGACATGCGATAAAAAGCATCCATTATGTGCAAACGAGTTAATGGCTGGCAACGGGGGCAGGAAAGAGGCACACTGGCTTTTCACTTGGAACACTGCAAGCACATGAGGTCTGTAGTATTTGGAACGCACTGGTCAGAAACCTAGTTCGGGTAATACGAGTTTGCTGGTTTAGTGATCAAAGCCTTTCAGCTTTCAGGTTGAGAGAATGAAGAGACCTGTTATTTTGTTTGGTTTGTTGAATTAGATATAAAAAACTTTTGTCATGGTGATCTATGATGTAGTTGAAATATAGTGTCTGTTCACAAACATTATTTAGTACAATTTTGAAATTGTGGTTTTGTGACAGTTCAAAAATACAGCTTTGCACCTATACCGTGGTACAATGAAAAGAACTTGCTCTAGGCCGTCACTTTACTATAAACTTACTAAGCTAGCTTCAGCAATACTCGACTGTCATTTCCTCATTTTTAAAATGAAGGGTTGACTACAGGGTCTGTAAGAGCCCTTACAACCCACAGATTCTGAGTTTATGATTTTCACACAACTTGTACCATGACTTTTTTTTTAAAAAAAAAAAAAAAACCAGCGTGATATGACGTGTAAAAGTTAAATGCGAGCTATTACTGTGAGGAAACTAGCTGAACCCCCATCCCTGGGCTGGGTTTTCTCTTGGCTCCCTTTTGAAAATGTGAAGAGATAGAGGGGAAAATAGATTCACTGGTTATATTTCCACATTAGCCACGACGGCTCTCACATTAGATTAGCAAGTGTATTGGCCTCTGACTGAGTACACTGCCTGAACTGTGTGTAGGTTGGACATTTAACTTGAATAACAGTAAAAGCTGTAGTGACTTGAGGTATCAGGTGTAGAACTCAGGATGACAAAACATTCAGAAATTTAGGGGTGATCCCTATAAACAAAGGAACCACAGAGAGGGTAACCCCTTACATCTGACTCTAAAATTTGTCACAATTCATGGCTGACCACTAACCTACCCAGGCTCAGGCTCAGAAGATTACTAGAGAGTTAGGCTGAAAGGGGGGCAACCGGAAACTGAAAAACTGAGCAGACATAAGTTACTGCACCCTGTAAATATAACAGAGCTCACAGTTTGAGCCCGGGTGAGTTAACTGCCCACTATAACAACAACAACAACAACAACAAAAACGTCACAAGACCAAAGAAGATTCCAAAGTTACTGCAACATAATATCTACAGTGCCAAGCTTTCAACCAAAAATTGTTGGATCTACAAAGAAACAGGATCGTGAGATTCATGTGCAAGATAAAAGCAATCAATAGACATTTAACGCCAGGTAGTCCCAGATAACATTTAGCAAACAGGCCTGAAAGCAGCATTATAAATAATAAGGGCAAAGAAATGAAGGAAAGCATGATTTAATAAATAAGAAATACCAAAAAAAAAAAAAAAAAAAAACCCCGGAAACTATATTGAAGAAAAAAAAAGCAAAAGAAAATTTGAAACTACAGTACCTGAAATAAAAAATTTGCTAAGTAGGCCTAGCAGAATTGAAATGGCAAAAGTAAGAATCTGTGATCTTAAAGACAGAGCAATAGAAATTATTCAATTTGAAAAATAGAGATAAAAGATTGAAGAAAAATGAATAAAATCTCAGAATGAGACAATATCAAACAGTCTAACACACTTGTAGTTGGAGTTCTAGAAGGAAGGGGCACAAATATATTAGAAGAAATAATGGACCAGCACTCTCCAATTTAGCAGAAAACATGAATTTACAGATATAAGAAACTTTGGGACTCCCAAAGAAGATAAACGCAAAATACACTTAGGTTCATAGAGTGAAAGGGCTAAAAGACAAAGTCTTAAGAGCAGCACACCACTCCCCAAAAATGAAATACTTAGGTGTAAGTCTAACAAAATGTGTCCAGCATTTACATGCTAAAAACTACCAAATGCTATGAAAGAACTCAAGGAAGCTCTAAATGGAGAGATATACCATGTTCACAGAGTGTAAGATGACAATTCTCTGCACGATGGTATACAATGTAATTCATTTCTAAATCCCAGCACTTTTTTTTGGTAAATATACACAAAATTATTCTAAGATTTATGTGGAAAGGCAAAACAATCTTGAAAAAGAATAAAATGAAAAAAATTAGTCTGATTTCAAAACTTATTATCCAGCTGCAGTAGTCAGGTTTATGTGTCAAATAGATTAGAGGAACAGAACAGAGAACTCAGAATAGACTGACAAATACGCCCCAGCCATTTTTTACAAAGGTGCACAGCAATTCAGTGGAGGGAAGCTAGCCTTTTCAACAAATGATGCCAGAGCAAGGAACTTACAAGTTTCAAGTTTGGGGTTGTTTTTTTCTTTTTTCTTTTTGTAACTTTTTTTTATATTGAGGTAACACTGGTTTGCAACAATGTAATTTAGAGAAATAGGTTCACACCTCTTCAAATGAATGTTAACCACACCATGCCTACCTCCAAAGCACCCTAGTCCTCCACCATAGACCGTTGATACACCACACCTCTTTTATCCACCTCCACCCCCAGCAGCTTCAATTCTGCAGTCCTATTTCTGGGGTTGTTTTGGTTTATGCTTGCCTGTTCCTTTGTGTTTTCTTTATATGCTACATATGAGTGAAACCACCTGATAGTTGTCTTTCTCCTTCTGACTTATTCCTCTTAGCATAATCCCTTCCAGTTCCATCCATTTTGTTACAAATGACAGTGAAAAGAAAACTTTTTTTTTCCACATTTTTTAAAAAGATTTATTTATTTATGCATACAAGAACTTGAGTACAGGCCAGAGGTGTGGGGGCTGAGAGGATTCACCAGAGACAGAATGGGGAACAGAACAGGCAGACTGACCAAAATATACTGCTGAGGGGAGCAGCGGGTGTGACAGGAGAGGTTTGCTGTGCCATGTGGGTAGCTCCCTGGCCGGGGATGGAACTTGTGCTGCAGTGGCTGCAGATAGCTTCATAGGTTTGCATCTTAACCCTTTGCGCCACCAGGGAGGCCCCTATTTCACATTTCTGGCAGTGATGAAGGTATATTCTACTTGTCAGCATTCTTCCTAATACTTGTTTCTGTCTGTCTTTTTATTGTAGCCATCCTGAGAGGACATGAGTAGTGTCTCCTTGTTGTTATGACTAATGATGTTTAATGATCTTTTTAGTGCATATCAGTGATCTGTACATCTTCTTTAGAGTAATGTCCGTTCAAACCCTTTGCTCATTTTAAAATTGGTTACTTATCTTTTTGTTATTTAATTGCAAGAGATCTTTTTTATCTATCCTGGATACAGGTCTCTTATCTGGAAAAGTATCTTAAGATATATGACTTGCAATATTTCCCCTAGTCTATGGATTACCACTTCCCTTTCAAAATAATGTTATTTGTAGCCCCAAAGTTTTAAATTTGAAGCTAGTTCAATAAAGCTGCTTTTACTTTTGCAACTTGAACTTTTAGGATTTATTATTTATTTATTTTTATATTCCCCATACAATTGCAACCCCCTTATTTTGACCCCAATCCCTCCCCTCCCCGCTCCCCACCCTCCATAGAATGTCTCTGGTTCATAGTTTTTTGTTGATTTTGATTTTCACTTTCTTATAGTTATTCATTTTCCTGGTCCCTTATTTAAGTTTTCTAGATTCCTGCTATGAGTGAGACCATCTGGTATTTTTCTAAAAGAAAACTTCTATTCACACAAAGGCCTGTAAACTAAAGCTTATGGCAGTGGTATTCAAAGTAACAGAAAATGGAAAGGCTCTAGATGTCCTTTGATGGATGAAGGGGAAACAAACTGTGGCAAATCCATACGCAGAACACTGCTCAGTAACTAGAAGGATGGCGGTAGCTAGATGCAGCAGCCTGGATGAGTCACCAGAAAATTATGCTGAGTAAAAATACCCAATCTTCACAGAGGTTACAGACTAGATAATTCTATGTAACATTTTGAAATGACCAAATGGAAATGGAAGCAGACATTGCTGCCAGGTGTTAGGGGGGTAGAAGCGGGAGGCTGGCTGACTATACCGCAACTGAGGAAATGTTCTGTGACTTGTCAGTCCCCAGCTGCGCAGCCGTGCTCCACACCTCCCAGGTGTTTCCATCGGGGGAAACCAAGTAAAGGGCGTGTAGGGTCTCTGTATTTTTTGGTTACAACCACTTGTGAATCTACCATGACTCAAAGAGAAAAAATGTTTAATTGGGAAGGAAGGTAGTTGTGACTTCCTGCCAGAGCTGGTGGGGGCTGAGAAGGTAGGAGAGTCTTCAGCCTCCTCACTTGCAAACCGCTCCCCAGCCCTCGACCAAGTATGTGTGTCTCCAGATTGTAGGTTTTTAAAATGCATTCAGGGGGCCTCCCTGGTGGCACAGGGGTTAATACGCTGCACTATGAAGCTATCCACAGCTGCTGCAGCACGAGTTAGATCCCCTGCCAGGGAGCAACCCACATGGCACAGCAGACTCCTCCTGTCTCCCCGCTGCTCCCCTCAGCAGTGTGTTTCAGTACATCTGCCTGTTCTCCCCATTCTGTCTGTGGTGAATCCTCTCACCCCCTGCATCTCTGGCCTGCACTCCAGCTCTTCTATGCATAAATAAATAAATCTTTTTTTTTTTTAAAAGACTTTCAGTTAACAATGAATAGATAGTTTCTTATTCTAGACTCACTATAAAAAGAGACAATAGTGATAATGATCTTGGTAGTGATGGTGGATGATAGAACAGTTCAAAGTGAAAGTCGGCTGTCTCTGCAGTACCTCATTGTTTTTATTCCTTTTTGTCACATCTCTGGAAGTTTGATATTATTACCTTTTTTTTAAATTTTTTTATTTTTTTAATTTTTTTTAAATGATCTATTTTGAGATTTTTTTTTTAAGATTTATTTATTTATTTATACAAGCACTGGGTACAGTCAGAAGCTCAGGAGGGTGAGAGAATTCACCAGAGCCAGAGTGGGGAACAGAACAGGCAGACTGAAATACACTGCTGAGGGGTGCAGCAGGTGCAGCAGGAGAGGTCTGTCGCACCATGCGGGACCCTCGCCAGCAGCCGGGGATTGAACCAGCGCTGCAGAGGCTGTGGGCAGCTTCGCAGCCCAGCACTCAACCGCTGCGCCAGCAGGGGAGGCCCTATTATTATCTTTTTTAAAAATACTTGTCCTTCACCTGTAACTTATTTGATAATTGCAAGATTGGTTACATAACAAAAGTGAAAGTGAGTTGTTTCAAATAAGGCCTCGCTGGTCTGTGTGCAGCAAACTTGCACTCCTTCTAGCACTTGAACCCCTGCCTATTTTGGGGTCACAACGTGGCTCTGTCACCTTTACAGTTCACCCAATCTCACCCCACAGCCAGTCGTGGTGTTTGCTATATGGTAGAGATTGTGTGCCCCTCCTCACTGCCTCTTCTCTGATCCAGCACAGTAAGCTGAAGTGAGCTTTTGAGTGGGATAAAACTGCTTCCTTCTTTGTATACTTGTCCCAACTTTCCAGCTGTGAGAAAAGGAAAACTGGGGGTTCCGAGTCTCACGAAATCAGGGTCTTGGTTGGCAGTGCCATCTTCCTACCAAGGCGCAGTTATGGTGAGCAGAAGAGAGCTAAAACTGGGGCTGCAGTCCTTTCCCTCAGCGCCCAGGCAGGCCATTTTGAGGAGGAAACACTTAGGTCGATGTGGCCAGCACGTCTGACACTCTACTGTTAATACCGTTTTAGCCGATGACTTAAAGAATCGAGCCCCCAGGCTGGGGGGCTCCTAGGACACCTGGAGTGAGGACCTTCTGTCCTCCCAGACCACATGACTGGGATCCCCATCCAGAAAAGATTTTTCTCACACACAAAAAAGTTATCCTCCCAAAAGGGCAACTTCTTCATTTTCCAGAGATTTGCTTGTAGCTAATATTTTTGAATTAACCAGACCAAAATAATCCTTATGTAACAGAGGCAAATTTTGGAGTGGCGTGGGTGTCCTGCTGCCTTTCACACAGACGCACCCCAGTGGCTGTGCCTTCCTCTGTTGAGGGCCCTCCTGATTTCTCTTCCGCCGCTAGGGACACAGGAGTGTGTGTATTTGTGTGCTGGCTTTCGTTTGGACGTATTTTTCAAAGGAGTTGTCTAAATACTAGAGGTGGGTTGTTGGATCCTGAGGTGAGATTTGCTTAATTTGGGGAAAACAGCTGATCTGCCTTCAAAGTGTTTTGCACGTGACTTCCACCATCAGTGAAGAGGCGCCCTTGCTCCTCGCCCTCCTGTGATTGGTAGTGTCATTTTTTTTTAGGTCAGTAGTTCTCACAGGTGTGCAGTGCTGTTGAGACAGCCTTGGTCAGGGAAACCATGAGGCAGTGGGATGTGTCGCCCCACGTCCTACGGGAACACATGGACTCAGTCATGGACTCAGCTGTGTCTAAACAGGGTGGCCCCCCATAAGGTGCCACACTAGACAAACTGTTAGATCCTGGCTCATAGATCTTGCCATTTCCTGGAGGGCCGAGAGCCTGGTGTGTGCCATTGGAATGTAACCCATCTTCATGTGCCCAGGCAGGCTTCCCAGCCAGAACAGGCTGTGACGCTGCCCCTCTCCACCCAGCGCTTGGGCCTATCCTGCAGACATCGCCTACCGCCCCTGGAGGGGCCAGGCTAAACTCCCCTTTCTGGCACTGCTTCCCTCATGCATGTGCCTTGCCTGGGGTTTGTTTTTGGTTTTTTTTTTTTTTTTTTTTAAAGGAATTCAGCTAAAGAACTTCCATTTGGTATTTGATGCCATTGGCATTGGTTCCAGCCATAAATACTAGTGCTGCTGCTGTTGCCTTCCCATTTCTATCTCTTGTTGCCCAAAAAATCTCTTTGAGTTAAATGTTTCTTTAGTCCTACTATTTTTATTAGACTCATCCGGGTTTACTTTCTGTCTCAAGTCCCAATATGTCATTCAAGTAACCATTTTTGCACAAATCATGTTAGTTTTCCTCACAAAGACTGTTCTTGATACCCAGGTGGTGAGCTGGAAGGTGCCAGCAACTACCACTGTGGCGGTGGGGCCTCCAGGGACTGGAGAGACCAGGAGGGAATAGCAAGGGTCCTGCTGATTTACTCAGGAGTGGGGGGATTGGAGTTAGAGGGAGGATGATGTGTTAGATGAGGCCAACTTTATGCGATTTTGCTGTTTGTTTTTTCCTTCATCTGCTTTTGAAAAGAAAGTGGGGGGAAGGACATTTATTGAGTTCCTGCCCCATGCCTGGTCCTTTAGGTGTGCTAGCTTTTTTTCCTTAAATGATATCACAAATTAATATATGTATAGCAATTTATAGTGGACAGTAACGTGAGTCCTTCTATCTTATTTCACTGATCTTCACAACCATTCAGAGATGAGGAAATGAGAGCTCTTAAGTCTCACAGCTTATAAGTAGCAGGACCAACCCTCCACTTTGTTGCCTACTTCAAATTCTGTGAGCTTTGCCTAGGCCACACTGCTTCTGGGTGCATAGTGTACCCAGTTGTGAGTCGTGGGGAAGTGGGCCGCGGAAATTTGCATCCTTCCCTGAGCAGCTCAGCAACTGAGAAAAGCAGTTAAGAGACTGGACTAGGAGAGTCCATGCTTCCTTGCTGAGATTTTATATTTTCTTTCATTTCAGGATGGCAATGACACGGAGAACTATGTTCCAGAAGGGGGAGGTGCATAACAAACCATCAGGATTCTGGGGAATGATAAAGAGTGTTACCACTTCAGTGCCAGGAAGTGAAAGTATCCTTTACCTCTCTGCTTGCCTCTTTATCTCGACTCTGGACCAGGTAGAAAGTAGTATTGGAAGAGTGTCTTCTGAGGCACCTGACTGCGTCAGAGTCCAGCTGGCCAGGGCCAGACATCGGTAATTCTGTGTGGACAGTCAGTCTTTCTAACATAGCAGATAATGAAATAATTATCTGAGCTGAAAGAGTCTTAATAAGTCAATCTTTGCATTTCACAGTAAGAAAATAGACTCAGAGAGGTTAAATCACACAATAGTTTGTGGCAAAAATAGGACCAGAACAGTGGTCTCCTTTTCTTAGTTCTCTCCACTGTACTATTACATTCCACCACCTGAAACAGCTCAGCACACACTGGCTTCTTAAAATGGATGGTTTGTGTCTGGGGTGGTGAAGGCAGAGCCCATTTCGAAAGCAGTCAGTATTTCTGACCAAATTTTAAGCAGCTCTGCATCTTAAAATTTTAAAATCATTTTGGTTGAAAGAATCAAAGAGACTAGGTTAATGGGTTGGTTTTGGCCCGGGCTGGTTAGAGTATTAAACTATTTCCAAAATTGAGTACCTACCAAACCTCTTTATAGCTACCAGGCTATCAAGTCACACCTTTGGGCGCTAAGGAGGTGAAATGGATTCCTCATGCCTCCTTTTCCCACCTCAGGAAGTTTAAGCTCCCTTTTGTTTCACTTAGATGAAAAGGATGTTATCTGTCCTGTTTCTAAATCATGGCCTAGCCTTCTGGTGTCAAACGCAGGTAAGAATTAGACAAAGGAGGGTAGGATGAGTATAGGAAAGAGGGGGAAAACATTCATTTAGCTGCATTTCCTCAAGCAACATTTCCTGTTTCCAGACAGTGCTAAGGGATAAGATGATGAGCAAAGACAGCCCCCTCAAAGACATCTACTATCTGATGGGGGGCGTGTGTCTAACTAGCTGAGCCCTGTTGCTCAGGCCTGGACTTGCCGGCAGCAGCCACTGCTGAGGAAAGTGCTGAAGGGCACGCGTTGATTTGAGTAAAATCACAGAGAAACATCAGAGAGGAATGAGGATTTGGCTTAAAGTCAACACTCTATTAATGTTAGTACTTAGAAATCCATAAAAGCTAAAGTTTAGGTTTCAGCTTATTAGAGTCAGTAAGTAAAGTCAGCAAGAGTATCAGGATTATTAAACCGCCCTAAGCGCCCAAAAGGAGAGAACAACAACACTTGGAGTTCGTGCAAAGTGGTGAGTGGAGTGGAAAGAGCAGGCCTTGGAGTGGGTGAGCGCTGGCGACTTCCACAGCTCCTTGCTGTGTGATGTTGAGCAAGTTCTTTAACTCTCTGAGCTTTCCTTTCCTCTTCTGCAAAATAGATAATAAAGCACCTTTCTCGTGGGATTATTTTGACAATAACAAGAGATAATGTCTGTCAAAAACAAAATAACATCTGCAAATCTCAGCTTGTCTAAGATCTTGGTAAAGGTTAGTTCCCTTTCCTATCATTGCACTCTGATGATACAGGGGAAATCTCTGGTATGTTATAATTTTCTACCATGTAACCATTTGAAGATTTCACCGATTACATTGACAGTCTAACTAGATTAAAAAAAAAAAAAAATGAACAAAATCACTTCAGCTAGTGAGAAACTTAGTGGTAGGTGTTAGGGGAAGAAGCTCTTGGTAGCCAGAGGTTAGGAAATTGCTCTGAATCAGTACTGCTGGCTGTGGGGCTGGAAACTGCAAATGCAGGCAATTCCTAGAATCCACTATAGGAGAAACCAAAAGCATTTGCTTTCTTCACTGCTATTTCTTGAAACTTCTACGTGATTTAAACCTTGATGTCCATTTTGTGCCAGATCTTACTCTTATTCAACAGGAAGTGGATGCTTTGGAAGAATTAAGCAGGCAGCTTTTTCTGGAAACAGTTGACCTATATGCTACCAAGGTACAGCACAAGGAAACTGACGTGTGGCTTTTGCCGGTGGACTGTGGTAGAGGACTGTGGTAGGGGACTTGCTGGGGATGCAGTGTGGTATCAGCACCCAAGGGGAATGATCTGAATCATACACAATGTTGAAAAACAATGTTACCTCAATAAAAATTTTTAAATGCCAGTATGACTGAAGAGAGAACAAGACTAAATAGTTTTTGAGTGTCTTTTAGAGAGATTCCGCAAGGCTTCCATGTCACCCATGAAGTTCTGGGGCTAAGGAGCCTACACTCCTCACAGCATTGCTCCCGCGACTGGCAGAATCCTTCATGGAACACGGTTAATAATAGAAACCGGTGGAACAGAAAGGAGAGGCCTTCAAGATGGCAGCTCCTCTGACTGTTTCTCATCCCCTTACGAATGAAATAGTGTGAGAAGGATGGACACTCTGCCGTGGTCTAGTCCTGTTCTCAAAGACCAAATTCAGAAGTGACCTAATTACAAGAAGTAACTTTGCTGTTACATCTACAATGCAAGACAGTTTAAATCTACAAAATATGTTCCGGTTGTTGACGCTGTTTAAATTCTTTCTGAGGATCACCTCACCTGGGTGGCCATGTAGGACAAAGGTTAACATAGGCTTTGGACACAGACCTGAGCCTGTTTTCCCATCTGTAAAAGTAAGATGATAGAGCATAGCTCCTAAGCGTTGTTAGGAAGATTAAAGTAGATAATTAAAAAAAAAAAAGTAGATAATTCAGGCAAGGTGTTTGACCCAGTCTCGGCTTAAAGTAAGCACTCACTAAGTGTTGTCTGATGCTGTTACAGGTTTTTGTTGTTGTTGTTGTTACTCACATGAGCAGTGATTCATAAAGACAAATTTTTTTGTTGTATAGATATATACTTGCTGAGACTAACCAGTTTTTGTGTTTGTTTTCCCTCAGGAGAGAATAGAATACTCCAAAACTTTCAAGGGGAAATATTTTAATTTTCTGGGTTACTTTTTCTCTATTTACTGTGTTTGGAAAATTTTCATGGTACGTATATTAATTTTAACTGTCAAGGTATAAGTGATTTTCCCCGGTAATGGCAGAGAGGGAAAAAAATGGGTTTGACCACTGTGGAAAGCTGTGTGGAGATTCCTCAACCTACTAAAGATAGAGCTTCCATAGGATCCAGCAATTCCACTCCTAGGTATTTACCCAAAGGACACAGAAACATTAATTCCAAATTAATTCCAACATTAATTCCATTTCAATCATACTGCACCCCTATGTTTATAGCAGCACTATTTACAATAGCTAAGCTTTGGAAACAACCCAAGTGCCCAAAAATAGATGACTGGATCAAGAAGATGTGGTACATATACACCATGGAATATTACTCAGCATTCAAAAAAGATAAACACATGCAGTTTGCAGCAACATGGATGGAGCTGGAAGGGATCATGCTCAGCGAAATAAGCCAGAAAGAAAAAAGAAAAATACCAGATGGTCTCACTCATAGCAGGAATCTAGAAAACCTAAATAAGGGGCCAGGAAAAAGAATAAGAAAGAAAAAATCAAAATCAATAAACAACTATGAACCAGAGACACACTATGGGGTTGGGGTAGGGGGAGATTGGGGTCAAAATAAGGTGGGTGCAATTGTATGGGGAATATAAAAATTAAAACAATAGGACCTCCCCTGGAGGCTCAGGTGGTTGAGCGCCACAGTATGAAGCTGTCCGCAGTCTCTGCAGCGCAGGTTCGATCCCGGCTAGCCTGCGAGGGTCCCACATGGTGCGGCAGACCTCTCCTGTCTCCCCGCTGCTCCCCTCAGCAGTGTATTTCATCAGTCTGCCTGTTCTGTTCCCCGCTCTGTCTCTGCTGGGGAATCCTCTCACCTCCCCACCTCTGACCTGCACCCCAGGTCTTATAAAAATAAATAAATAAATATTTTTTTAAAAATTTTTAAAAAAATAAAAGTTATCCCTTCGGGAAAAAAAATGGGTTTGATTAAGACATTAAACTAAATTCCAAGTGGGACCGAGCCAACATAGAATGTGCTCTTTCCCATCAGTTCTTCCCTTCCGCTCAGAACAGACACTACCTGTCCTTTATAAAGACCTGTGTACCTGAAAAATAGGTCCTTTAACTCTGTAAATTCTAAAATCCATTTCTGTAGATAAGCTTGGCATCTGTGCTGTCAGCTCTTATTCTTTTGTGGCTCTCCCTCAGTGTTTTATTCTTTCTGTCCATTTTATGGACATTATTTGTCTTGGACTCATCAGCAGTTGTTGGTAGATTCCAGCGTAATTGTAGAAAAGACTAGTTTGGATGAATTGGGTGGCTTCCAAATTCCATTTCATCTCCATCAGCTTGCTAACTGTAACTCTTTATTATCTTAATAATTACTCTTAGAGGGCCTCCCCTGGTGGCGCAGCGGTTGAGCGCTGGGCTGCGAAGCTGCCCGCAGCCTCTGCAGCGCCAATTTGATCCCCGGCCGCCAGGCGAGGGTCCCACATGGCATGCAGACCTCTCCTGCCGCCCGCTGCTCCCCTCAGCAGTGTATTTCGTCAGTCTGCCTGTTCTGTTCCCCACTCTGGCTCTGGTGAATTCTCTCACCCTCATGTGCTTCTGACTGTACCCAGTGCTTGTATAAAATAAATAAATCTTTAAAAAAAAAAAATTACTCTTAGAACATTCAGAAAGTAACCACAAGTAATGACCCTGGAATTCCTTAATTCTCTTTTGCTCTGATTTCACCTGACAGAATGTTACCTTAGCGCCTCCTAATCAAGTCAGGTATATCGACCACAGCAGTAGTCCCCTTGACTCTTCACAGGAAGAAAAGGGTATTTTTCTTTGCCTATACATGAAGAATCAAAAGAGATTTCTTACATGATTTGGATTAAGAAAAGAACTGCATTTTTAAGAGCATCACCTGTAGCATATGTTGTGGTAATTAATTTATTATTTTAAATCACTTTTAGAAATAGCGATTATAACCGAAGGGTCTGTCTCTGCAGGCGACCATCAATATCGTGTTTGACCGAGTTGGGAAGACTGATCCTGTCACACGAGGCATTGAGATCACTGTGAATTACCTGGGGATCCAATTTGATGTAAGAGTTGTATCAAAATCCTGCCTTTTATATTTCTTTTTGATTGGCTCTAAGTTATGAATGTGAAGATTCTGACTCCTCACTGTAGGTGCTTAGTTCTGCTTTTGGTCTTTGCACTCTCCTCTATGTATTTTGCATATTTACATAGCAGATTTATAAAGGCCATAAAACCTTAAGTAATGGCTGGCATTTATTGTCATGAATGCTTGTTATTTCTAGAGTTCCTTCTCTGCTTCTCTGTAGTGACTACTCATTAAATATGTGTATACTTCTCTGTGGTGCTTGGTGACCTCTTCAAACATACAACTTACCTTCGATTCCTCTGGTAGAAATTTAACTCCTAATTGATGTTCCATGATAGAACTGAAATAACTTTTGCTATAAATATTTATCAATTAGTGTGAACTCTGAGCTAAAGATAGTAACAAACCTTTGCACAATTGTTTTAATCATCTTTCTCCCTGTTTTATAATACCACTGTCTAACCACTGTTGACCCATTGATGACCAATGATTCTGGCTGAGTAGCACTTTGATAAGACCAGTATCATGTTCTCAGTCCGTGTGTGTGCCGTGTCACTAGGCTGCGCCCTCGCCACAGGCTGCATGCCACCTCCAGCGCCATCTCAGATGCCCTGGGAGCTGGACAAATGAGCAGAGCAAACTGAGTGCCAACCCTTGGGAAACAGCTCGAGTCAACAACAGTTCCTTTTTGTTGTTGTTATAGATCACTAGGATATGTGACAGGAGGGGGTATCTTCCCTCAAGCGGTGTGCAGATTACCCTCAAGTATGCTCACTGCTGCTGCATGTTTTCCTTTTACATTTTTTACTGGGCTGAATTTTCAGAAATGCTTTTCCTTAACAGTGTTTTCTCAGGCTCTTTAGTTGCTCTGTGTGTGTGTGTGTGTGTTTTCTATCTGTAATTTGTGTGTGATCTTCAGAGTTCATATTTCTGAGTGACATCTTTTAGATGTCAGTAGCAGCAGCTCCCCATCAGTTAATTTTCAGACCTGAATCAAGCACAGGTCCCCAAAGCTGCTGCTTGCTATAAAGCGTACAGGAGAAAAGGGTATCATCATGTAGTTCAAATGAAGGTCAGTTTTTTCAGACATAGCTGAGAGTGTCTATATTTTCTTTTATTATAAAAATTCCTTGAAGTCTTGGGTGATGTTTCATGCACAGATATTAAAAAGAATCTAGCTGTTGTTCAGCTTCCCTTTAAGTCACGCTTGTCATGTGTCACATTAAATGCAATCATTGATATCATTAGCTCTGCTCTGATCTATTGGTGTTATTTCCATCACTTCACTGCACTTGCTTTCTTTTGTCCTGAAGACTTGACTGCTAATTAAGAGGTCCTTCGTTCCCTTCTCTAAAAGATGTTTGAAAATCAGCGAGTTCCCGGTGAAGCTCCCTTGCTGTCGTGAGAATGCGGCTTCACGGCCTCCACTGCTCTCTGAACAGATTTAACTGAGTTTTTTTCTCCCTCTGATGGTGGCAGGTGAAGTTCTGGTCCCAACACATCTCCTTCATTCTGGTTGGAATAATCATCGTCACCTCCATCCGAGGGCTGCTCATCACGCTTACCAAGGTGTGTTGTGTCACAGAATTAAAATGTGTGTAATTATGTATGGCACCTGAGGTGATTTTACTCAGTTAAGATTTCTGCCTTCTGAGATCTTAAATAGAAGTCACGAACATTTAAGACATACAACAGAATTTTTTAAAAAGTCTGACATAAATCGGTGATGATGTACTTATCAGATAGGTATATTTACCAAAGGTAATAGAATGAGGTAAAGGTATTTTTTCCACTGTGTCACCAGCCTCTGGGATAAAGCCTGGCACCTGGTAGGTACTCAGCAGATTTGGGGAATGAACAGATGAGCTAGGTGTGTCCTCACCGGTAAGGAGGAATGGAAGTAGAATGTTCAGCTACCTTCTGATCAGCATAAGCAGGCAGCATGGAAGTAAGGGTGAGTTATCTTGCTAGAGGAGGTAGGAATTGCTTGAAAGGAGAAAGCGGAGGGCATTGAAAGGGTCTCTAGGCATCTGTTATAATGTTGGAAAGAGCTAAGGCGCCCGGTAGCAACTACAAGGATGTGGGGTAGCCTGTAATGGTCTGTTGTAACCTTCATGGTGGTGCTGAAGTATTTTGGACATTTTTAATTAGTGGTTTCCCATGCTACTTAATGTTCTTGACCGCGCCAGAGTGCTACCTGAATTCACCCTCTCCCCTCTCTTAACAGTTCTTTTACGCCATCTCCAGCAGTAAGTCCTCCAATGTCATTGTCCTGCTGTTAGCACAGATAATGGTAAGTTCAGCCAGCAGCCTCGTGCCTGAGCCACACACCACCAGCGGCGCGCTTAGACGTCTGCCTGCTGAGTGGCTTGTTCTGACCTCCCGAGTGCCCAGTGACTCCGGGTCCCTTGATTTGCAGGGCATGTACTTGGTCTCCTCCGTGCTGCTGATCCGCATGAGCATGCCGCTCGAGTACCGCACCATCATCACCGAGGTCCTCGGGGAGCTGCAATTCAACTTCTACCACCGCTGGTTCGATGTGATCTTCCTGGTCAGTGCTCTCTCCAGCATCCTCTTCCTCTACCTGGCTCACAAGCAGGCCCCAGAGAAGCACATGACACCTTGAACTCATGCCCCTGCAGGCTGCTCTGTGCCGGAGGTGTCAAAATTTGGATGTAAAATGGAAAAAATGGAGATCAGGGCCTAATGTTTTTTAAACAAACAAAATGCTGTGGTAGCGCCTTCTACCTCCAGCTCCCACCTCCCTGCTTGGACGGTGCTGGGCTCACGAGTAGCATCGGCCTGAACACAAAATGGTGAAGTAAGGCAAGTGGGTGTTCAGCCGAGAGCGTCCTGTGTGGGCTTGGGGCTGGAGCAGCGTGGAGAGAAGAGAAGACACTGGGGAGAAAACACACTGGAACTCTGGGTAAGATAATCAGGTAGCTGGACCAAACAGGACTTCTGTGTAAGTCAAGGTCACGTGGACTGTCATTAAAATCAGAGATTATAACACTTTGGCCTTAGAGTCATTTTATCAGCATGTGCCTTGGTGCTATGCTTGTGGGAGGTGACGTGGGCAGGCATGAGGGGTGGGTGCCGAGCCATTAAACTGTTCTTTTCTGGAAGGGGATAGGTGTGCCACAGAAATAGTCTACCAAGAAAGACGTCCAGTATGTGATTTTTCATGATGTCCTTTCAGTATTTGTGATTACTTTCAATTCAGTATGCCTCGTTTTTTCCCTTTCCGTCTGCCCCTTATGCTGTGGGATAAAAAATGAATAATGTTAACTGGAATAAGTCTCTTTCCTGTGCTGGAACTCAGTTTTTCATCTGTAAAAGGAAGAAATGCCAGTTAGAACCCTGAGTGTGATTACCAGGAAGTCTCTTTACTACTGAGCCCCCATGCTGCACTTTACTGGTAGGTCTCTAGAGACCCAGTGACGGTTAAAGGCTACAAAGCTGGCCAGAGCGAGAGCACCGTGAAGGTCTAGCCACCACCGCGAAGGTCCACGCACACTCAGAAGACGTTTACTGGTATTTATTTTAGCAACCGCGTTCTTACAAAAGCATGAATTTAATAGGCTTGTCTGCACAGATATTTTAATCAGTAGCTCTCACATATACAGATTTACTAATCATCTTTGGTCCTCAAGGAGCCTGCAGAGAAAGCGATGCCGTCACAGACAAGTGTAGCTCAGTAGGAGCTCGAAGGAGATCCTGTGAGAAGAAGCGACTCCTGCCTTAAGTCTTCTCAGCAGATGGGCAGTGAGCCGTCAGCGCGGCTGCCCAGCCAGGGGCAGCAGAGAGGGCCGCACGAGCTGGTGTCCGGGCATCTCTCTAGCAGCTAGCGAACGGATGGCAGCTTATTCCTTGAAGGATTCCTATTAAATCCCAGCCAGAGCCAGTATTTGCTCTCACATCTCTGTGTCTTCGGAGCTGGAGGCCGAGCTGGAGGCTGTGCTGTGGGCCTGTGTGGAAGAGCGGAGGCAGCGTCAGTGGCCGCGGGGGAGGCCAGGGCAGGTGCGCTTTCTCCAGTCGCCTGACTCAAAAGCAAGCCAGGTCACGTGAGTTCTGCACTTGACTTTGTCCCAGAATGTTGTTTAACACACTTAGCAATTTTTTTAATGTCTGTATTTCTTTTTCATAAAGCCAGCTTGGCACTATAATTACCCTCCTATAGTCATATGATCGAATTCTTAAAGCCAGCTTTTTTAAAATAAACAGTCCAGACTACAAGGTTGGAGGCTGTTAAATGTGCTATGGTCTGAATGTCTGTATCACCCCAAAATTTATGTTGAAATCTTAATACCCAAGGTGATAGTGTTAGGAGGTAGGGCCTTTGGGAGGTGATTGGCCCCCTTTACAAAAGGCCCCTCAAAGCTCACTGGCCCTCCTACCATATGAGGCAAAAAGCAACAGTCTGCACCGGAGATGAGCCATGGTCACCCCAGGATTTTGGATTCCACGCCCTTCAGAACTAGAAGTAAGTGCTTGTTTTTTATAAGCTACCCAGGCTCTGGCATGTTCTTACAGCAGCCCAGACTAACTCTATTAAAAATCAGCATTTCTTATTTATATTACCAATCAGTAGAGTTAATGAAATGGAAAAAAGAATACTATAAAACATGTAGAGTCTTGACTTTGACTAAGTCACTCTTGAACTTCATCTATGAAAAGAAATTCAACAAAAATAAAAATCTGAGACTTACCAAGGAACTCGCCTAATGCAAATATATACAGAATAATGTTTATTCTTTCCTAGTGCTAAAACTTTAATACCTGATGACTATGTAAAGCACAATACTGTCTCTAACCACCACCATCCATTCTCAGGCTTACAATGAACCGGGAGCTGTTTGAGCCACTTTCATAATCTTAGTTAACATAATCTTGATAAGAAGCCTGCAAATTATCCCAGTCTTATAGGAGGGAAATTTTGAGGCGCTGAGGAAATAAATCTTTTTGCCCAAAACTGATAAATGGCAGCTCCGGAATTTGTACTTAGTAGCCTGATTTAGGTTATTCTGGTGGTCCCCACTATAATTTTAATAAACTTATTTCTTCTCTACCCTAGAAAGTTGCTGTCAGCTTCACTGCTGGGAAAAATAAGAAACCTGTTGTCCTTACGCTACATCACCTCCCTCACAATAACTTGCTTTATTCTCTTTACATTATGAGTTAGTATTTTAGGAGCTATGTGGTGCTCAGTGAGGGCCTCTGCTGAGTTAGGTCAGGAGGAGAAACGCGTAGCCACTTACTCGTTCTCTGGGCACGGCCGCCTCGCACTCCGACTGCCCGGGATCGGCTTCCTTGGGCCCAGGGCTGACGTCCAGTGGGTCAGCCATGGAGGACACAATGGGGATTTTCTTAGACTGGAAATAATCGTAGGCTTTCTTCCCACAGACTAAGAGTGTGACTTCCTTCCCGCTGCTCTGGATTCGTTCCACCACCTTCTCATAGGCCTCGCTCTGCACGTTCGCCCCGTCCACCTCGATGAGGACATCCTCGTCCTGCAGCCCAGCCAGGCCGGCTGGGCTGTCCTCCTGTACCTGCGAACAGACCCAGACAAGGCATGTCAGACCAGTTCCCTTTAGAAACGAGTTGAGTTTGAGAATTTATTCTTAACTGGTAATTATTTCTCCTTAAGAAATTAAGGAAGGGCCTCCCCAGTGGCGCAGTGGTTGAACGCTGGGTTGCGAAGCTGCCCGCAGCCTCTGCAGCACCGGTTCGATCCCTGGTTGCTCCCCGGCCACCGGAGGAGGGTCCCACATGGCGCGCAGACCTCTCCTGCCGCCCTCTGCTCCCCTCAGCAGTGTACTTCGGTCCTTCTGCCTGCTCTGCTCCCCGCTCTGGCTCTGGTGAATTCTCTCACCCTCCCGCGCTTCTGACTGTACCCAGTGCATGTATAAACAAATAAATAGATCTTTTAAAAAAAAAAAAAGAAATTAAGGAAGACACTCAGGCATTCCTGTTTATGAAAGCTACAGCTTCCGTCTCGAATGAGTGTTTTAACGGGTGCAAATCATTCTCCGTCTTCTGGATGAAGGCGTTCCGTTTCCTAGGTCCCCTTCATTCCCAGGTTGGAAGCTGTAGGGACAGCCTCGCTGTCCACCCCTGCCGGGCAGGGCGTCAAAGACCAGGAAGCACACGATATCACCCCCAGAGTTAACAGTGACTGCCAGATAGTCACGTCAGTCACTTCATCTGATTTGAAAACATGAAGAGGTAGAGCAGACAGGGGGGCGGGGGGGGCGAGTTTCAGCTGTCCTGGGGCTGTCTTGAAGGGACACTTTGTTTGAACCCAAATGAGACCCTCACTGAGGGGCTTCAGCGCAAGCCCTTTACTAGGTTTTCCGTGGGGGGAGGAAAGGAGCCCCCTACCTGGCTGTGCCCCCGGGCGGCGGAGCCAGGTTACCCACCTCCTTGATGAACGACCCTGGCTGACCCCGAACCGCATTTAAGTGAAAGCCGTAGCCGTTCTCTCCTCGGACCAGCCTGCAGAGCTTAGGCCTGGGATCTCCTGCTTCCTCTGTGGCGTCTGCACACGAGACCTCCAGAGCAGCAGGAGCAGGAGCTTGAGCCTCCTTGACAGAACCATTAGGCAGTTCTTGACTTTGATAGTAGAGGACTGGAGAAAAATGAGCCTTTGAGAAAAGCGGGAGAAAGGTACTCGTGAGTCGTTCCGCTTCATTAAACATGCTGTTCAATTTGCGAGGCCATACATGTTCCACTCCCTTCCCAGATACATCTACCTGGGCTGTCTCTGCTCTCCCTCCAGGAAAAGGACCCAGGCTGAGCTTGGTGATAGCGTCATGGATAGAAACATGGAAACAAACGAAAGCACAGACTGTGGAACGAGGACCCCAAAATAAGCCTAATCGAATTGCTGGTGTCCCTGAGGTGCCGGACTGTGAGCGTGAACAGGGCCCCGGATGGCCACAGCCGCCTCCCTGTGGGATGATTATGCACACTGAGGGCCTGCCCAGTAATCATGCAGAGTCACTTCATCTGCATGGCCCCCAGGGAGAAGGTCTTCAGAGCTGCTTAACACACTTGAGAAAGTGAAACGTTTTCTCTAGAAAAAATGAAAGATAACTTTTTATAACTCTCTGAACACAGGAGACCAGCCACTACCCGCTTGTAACTGGGGAGCCGGGAGGAAGAGTGGAGACCACACATGGTTACAGAAGTTAATGCCCTGGCTCTGTTGTACTCCATGTGCTATTTCCTGTCACCACCAGCACGTCTGCCGAGCGAAACACCTCGCCGTCTTTGCATAGTTCTAGTCCTCACCTCCCCTGGGATGGTCCTGAATACAGACGACGCGTAGAACAGAAACATCTGACTTTTTTTTAAAGATTTAAGAACTTGATTGACAGGGTTTAGTTGAGAGAGCTAGAAGGGAAGTCTCCAACTATTAGTGTCAAACTGTGCTTCTCCCTTTAACTGTGGTATGCTTGATTCTGGTGCAGCCGTTAGTTAAGTTGCTGCTGACAGTGTCCAGGGCATCTGCTGGGCTTGGGTAGAAATCAAGCAGTTAAAGGTGAGCCCGATGTGTACTCTGCCCCGGGTGAGCCTGCACACGCACCTGGCTAAAATTAGACTTCAGGCCCCTGGCCTTATCACAGACCACATCTTCCTTTCTAATTGCGAATAGCTGCGTCTCAGAACCTCCTGCTTACCCAGCTAAGCAAACTTCAGAACTTTCGGTGACACTTGTGTAAGCTCCTCATTTCTTTCTTTCAAGTGTGAACATTATCACAGTGACTCATTGTCTGCAGAAACACCTCTGACAGCACGGCCCAAACAGGCAAGTCAACCACAGCTGACAGTGGAGCTGATCTTGAGGCAAAGTACAGTGACATTAAACAGAGTTTCTATTCATTATTCATTCAAATGAATGAGGGTGTAGTCGGTGCCTGGAACTTTATTCACCGAGGGCATTTATCTCAAAGAGCCAACTTCCATCCGCACCTACCTACGGGCCTTACTGTCAGGAGGAGGAGAGAGGAGAGAAAATGAAGACAGGCAACCTATGGATAGATGCTCTCTAACACCAACCAAAACAAAGTCAGAGTTCAATCATCCTGCCGTGAGATTAGGAGGAGCTGGGACGGGCTTGGATGCCAGAATCCCCTTTACAGCAGCTGAGCAGTGACCTGACTCTGCATGGCCTTTTCCACCAGCCGAGAGCTCACCACTCTGCAGATACGGCACCCTGTTCCTGGCCGATGCAGCTGTGCTAGGACAGAAGCTCGCTCCCTACAGATCTGCTCGAGTTGGTCAATCTGTGCAATACAAAACACCTCAAAAATAAGTCTAATCCTCTTTGTATATAAAGAGTTTGAAAGTTTTGCAATACAGGTATAATTTTAAATGTATAATTTTTATTTCACAAATAAAATACATTCACCTCTCAGTATAAGCCAGTGTAATTGGCTGTTGTGACTATCAGTGAGATTGCATGTGGCCAAAATGTTTGTTCTGTCGTTGGGCAGAGTGTTCTGTATGTGGGGTTAGGTCTAGTGGGTTTGTCATGTTCGAGTTCTCTTGTTCCTGTGTTCTGTCCACTATTGAGACTGACATATTGAAGTCTCCAATGATTAGTGTAAAAACTGTTCATCCCTTTAATTCTGTCAATTTTGCTTCATATATTTTTTTCTAGCTTTATTGAGGTATAATTGACAAAATTACCCAAGGTGTACAGCGCGATGATTAACTCATTTAACCCTCACTGCCACCCTTCACAGTAGCTATCTCACAGCTGAGGAAACTGAGGCACAAAGAACACAGCTTGCCCAAGGTGACTAGTAATTTCAAGTATGGTCCAACCAATTCAGTAGACTAATATGATCATCTCCCGAAGCAATGTCAGTATAATATTAAATTGCCTTTTTGTGTGGAGGCAGAGTATCATCAAGTTCTGGGCTTTTCTATAGTCATCAAAATCAAGTCTCATTTAGAATTCATGTAATTTCCTTTAAGATAATCTTGTATGAATTCCTATTTAAACTTGAACTTCTTAGTTTGTTTATTCTTTCTATCCTAACTAGATATTTTAAATATTAACTATACACTAGTAAATTATCCATCAACACATTGTCTTATGTATGGACTTATGCATATTAAATGTGTTTTACTTTTCCATCCAAATATGATAATAAATTTGCTTAGGGTAGGAACAAGTTGCAGGCCACTACACATATGTTCAGGTTGACATTGTTCTAACAGCAACAATATTTTATGTCTGGTTTTTCCACTAACTAAAAACCCATTGTCTATCCAGTTCACTCTTTTAATCTCTAGACAAGTATTTTGAAAGATCTAGTCAAGATGTGTTGAATACAGGGCCTCCCCGGTGGCGCAGCGGTTGAGCGCTGGGTTGCGAAGCTGCCCGCAGCCATTGCAGCGCTGGTTCGATCCCCGGCTGCTCCCCGGCCACCGAAGGAGGGTCCCACATGGAATACAGGGCCTCCCTGGTGGCGCAGCCGTTGAGTGCTGGGCTGTGAAGCTGCCTGCAGCCTCTGCAGTGCCAGTTCGATCCCCAGCTGCTCCCCGGCCACCGGAGGAGGGTCCCACATGGCGTGCAGACCTCTCCTGCCGCCCGCTGCTCCCCTCAGCAGTGTACTTCGGTCCTTCTGCCTGCTCTGCTCCCCGCTCTGGCTCTGGTGAATTCTCTCACCCTCCCGCGCTTCTGACTGTACCCAGTGCTTGTATGTATGTATGTATCAATCAATAAATAAATAAATCTTTAAAAAAAAATGTGTTGAATACAAGTAAGGTGTTGGAGTAAAACAGACACACACATCAATGGAACAAAAGAGAAAACCCCAAATGAACCCCCATATATATGGTCAGTTTATGACAAACAAGCCAAGAATATACCATTAAGAACAGTCTCTTCAATAAATGGTGCCGGGAAAACTGAAAAGCCACAGATAAAAGTATGAAACTAGAGCACTGTTTGATACCGTACACAAAAAGAAAACATGGATTAAAGACTTGAATGCAAGACCTGAAACCATAAAACACCTAGAAGGAAACAGGCAGTCAACTCCATGACACCAATCTTAATATTTTTGGATTTAACACCAAAAGAAAAAAAATCTAATGGGACTACATCAAACTAAAGCTGCTGCACAGCAAAAGAAACCACCAACAGAACCAAAAGGCAACCTACTGAATAGAAGGAAATATTTGTAATTCATATCTGATAAGGGGTTAATACGTAAAATATAGAAAGCATTCATATAACTCAGTAGCAAAACAAGCAAGTAACTGCTTTAAAAGAGGTAGAACATCTGAATAGACATTATTCCTAAGACACACAGATGACCAGCAGGCGCCACTAATCAAGCACATGCAAATAAAAAGCCCAATGTGATTGCCTCACACCTTATATAAAGGCTATTGTCAAAAAGTAAGACATAACAAGTGTTGGCAAGGATGTGGCGATAAGAGAATCTTTGTGCAGTCGGTAGGAATGCAAATTGGTGCCGCCACTAGGGAAAACAGTGGAGAGTCCTCAGAAAATTAAAAATATGACTACCATATGATCCACCAATTCCACTTCTGATTCAAAAAGATCTACACACCCCTATGTTCGTTGCCACATTATTTACAGTAGCCAAGATATACAAACCACCCAAGTGTATACTGATGGATGAGTGGGGAAAGAGAATATTCTAGACAAACAGTTGAATATTATTCAGTCACAAAAAAGAATGAAATCTTGCCATTTGCTCCAACATGGTTGGACCTTGAGGGCATTATGCTAAGTGAAATAAGGCAGAGAAAGACAAATACTGTATATCACTCATGTAGAACCTTAAAAGCAAAAAACTAAGTTCATAGATAAAGAGAACAGATGGGAAGTTGCCAGGTAGAGTGGGAGTGGAGACCATGGATGAAGTGGGTCAAAAGGTATAAACTTTTGGGGCCTCCCTGGTAGCTCAAGGGGCTAAGCACCGCACTAGGAAGTAATCCGCAGCTACTGCAGCACAAGTTCTAACCCCGGCCAGCCAGGGAACAACCCACATGGTGAGGCAGACCTCTCCTGACTCGCCCGCTGCTCCCCTCATCAGAGCATTTCAGTCAGTCTGCCTGTTCTGTTCCCCACTCTGTCTCTGGTGAATACTCTACCCCCTGCATCTCTGGTCTGTACCGTAGCTCTTGTGTGCATAAATAAATCTTTTTTAAAAAGTATAAACTTTCAGCTGTAAGGTAAGTTCTGGGGCTGTGATGTGCAGCATAGGGACTGTATTTAACAATATATTGCATATTTGAAAGTTGTAAACATAATATCTTAAAAACTTATCACTGCCATTCTGAGCTTCAATTCAGCCTTAATGATATTTGTTATACCCCTTCCAGTTTGAAGAACAGAGTAGTAACTCAGCCCAAGTGTGAGGACTTGAGAGAATCGTGCCAGACTTCACGTGTTAAGACGTGGCCTGTTGTCACTCACCAGCCTATACAGGTTGTCAGCCTCCTTGTCCACCACCAGCAGCGACGTCTGATCCCCGCCCTTTCTGATCAGCGCCACCACGCTGTCGTGGTCAAGGGACTCCACGGACTCGCCGTTGACCGCAACCACCAGGTCGTTGTTCTTCAGGCCAGCCGCCTCCGCTGGGCTTCCAGAATCTATGTCCTTGATGATTTGACCTACCCAAGAAATAAAAAGGCCACGGGATTTCCGGTGGGGCCCACAGCCCTAATGAAATAGACACAAAACGCTGCTGTCCCTCCCGCTGCCTTTCCAGAAAGCCCGAGAGCGCCCCAGCCAGCCTCAGCCCTGCTCAGAACTCGCTCCAGCAACAGACCCAGCCAACCAGGAAAGGGTCTCAAGGGAATGATGTTTCTAAGTGTCTGGCTTTTAATCTCAACAAAATAGCATCCTAAGCATTAAGGGTCAATAAATTCCCAGTCAGTGGGCAGACTTGGGACCACACAGGCCCCAGCTCCTTAGCCTGACAGAGGTTCTTCGTGGTCTTGCTCTCCCGCCCACCTCTAGTCTGGTCTCCTGCCCTCTCCGGTAGATGCTGCTCAAGCTGCCCATATTTCCCTGCTTTGCTCACACAACTCCCGTCCTCCTTGTCCCTGCTCCAGCTACTTGACCAAATCCCGGTCATACGAAAGCCTGAGCTCAGGGGCCACTTCTACATGAGGCCTTCCAGGACCTTCCAGTGAGGCGAGCTCCCACCCGAGTTCCCACAGGGCCTCCCTCGCCCTGCACCCAGGCGCACCTGGCGCTCTTCAGCTGCGCACACGCGTCCCGTCTCCTGTGCTCACTAGGAGGCTCCTTGACTGAAAAACTCCCGTCCTGTTGCCTTATATTCGCAAAAGCCCTGAGCACTTTTTTTTACATGTTAACCAGCTCAGTAGTTGGCCCGTTACTGTAAACATACATCATGAGAAGGGCAGCTTCTAGGCAAGTGCGTTTGCCGACCTTTCGTGCGTTCACTCGCCCCGGAGGCCGGCCGCTCTTTCTTTGCCGAGTCCCAGGGAGTCAGAAGGATTCCTGGTTCTCTGAGCCCTAGCGCCTACCCCCCCCACCCCGCTCTGCCTCAGAGTTAGTGGTGGGTGACTGGCTACGCCAGCTCACAAGAACCGCTTCCGCAGTAGACTTCTCGAGTGTGCATTCCGTGACAGCATGTGGGTAGCTTAAACTCCGGGTGGTGGGGATATTTATTTACATTACCCCCCCCAAAAAACAAAAAGCTGTAACAGGACTCCACCCACCCCCACAGGGCCAATTTACCAACAGTACTGCTCAAATCCCAGATTCCACCTAATCAATCAGCTGTAAAAATTTGGGGTACCAAGCATCAGACCCCCATTGGACATGGGGGCTGACCCCAGTATGCCTTTAGTTTCTTCCTGGCCCCTCGCGCATCTGCGAGGGAGTCGGAGTCTATCAGAGCTCTGGAGTCAGACCCGGGAAAAAAATTGGACGGTGTCGCTGCCAGATCTCCTGCCTCACCCTTGTGCTCCGGGCCTGCCTTCAGGTAGAAGCCGTAGCCGTTGCTGCCCTTCTTCATCTCCACGACCCTGGGCTGGTGGGGCAGCAACTTCAGACTGGCCGTTTCTCTCTCGAATCGTATCTTCTGCTCGCTGTGGCGCTTGTCCGTCTCCTTGTCGACCAGCAGGAACATGATACGGCTTCCCGCCTTCTTCACCTGCAACGACACACAGCGCGTCGACGTCAGCCTCCGAGAAGGACGCTGAGAAGCACGAGTGTCGCAGTGGAGGTGCGCGGTCTCGGGAGTCAGCGGGAACGGGGGGATTTAACGGGCATTTGTCTCACTTCCATGGTCATTTTTCCCCTTAGGTCTGAGCTCCTCCACATCCATGCTCCAGAAACCAAGTGGGAGCTGGGATCCAGAAAACCCCGGTGCTTAGGTGGAGGCGAGGACACCCACTTGGAAGAGGAAGAAGTAGTTTACATGGACAGATCTGCCAAGGAGAATCTCTACCAAGAGAAGCGGTGTTGGTCAGTTTTCAACATTCCCTGTGACCTCAAAGAAAACCTCGGCACGATTTCCCTGTGCAGTGGAGCTGGGACATACAATTTGGGGTAACAGGACTTCCGACACCCCCCATGTGTATCTGTATTCGTTGCCACGCTGGTTATCTTCCAGCTTGTATGAAAGCATTTTAGTAAGATGGACTTTATTTTAAATGCAGAGGGAGCTGCCAAGCAGATCCAAATAAGGTCCAAACGGCAAAGTGAAGGGTCTTTAGAACACTTCAAGGTAACATGAAACTAGCAAAGGCTTTATTCCAAACCCCCACATGAACACTGCTTTTGCCAGCAGCGAGTTTGCTCACGCTTATTATAAAGGGGCAACTTCCCATCGTGATGTTCCTCCCTCCTAGACTGCTCTCCCGTCTTCCTGCCACTTCTAGTGAGAGTGGAATGCAAGAAAAGGTGAGAACAGCACCTCTCGGGACTATACCTTTTCAACCACTTCCTCGTGGCTGGCATTTTCTACGTTTTCGCCGTTCACTTCAATGACATGATCATCAGCCAAGACCCCAGCTCTCATAGCCACACCTTGAGGCGTTATATCTTCCATGTACACTCCCTTTTTACCTGAAAGTCAAGGCAACAGACAAGTGTGACAGATCGATCACCTGCGCAGCCATCAAGGATTTTCTCCCCATCGTAAAACCAGAGCCTCCAATTTTAGGGCTAACTCACGTAGATTTTGGCTTCTGATCTAGAATTACAATACTAGATTCTAGCACAAAGCTTGACATGGCCATTATGCTGCTGTTTTTTGTTGACATGAATAGAACTTCTGAGCCTAAGTAAAGGCAAGAAAAGAATCTCAGTGGCCAGACAGCACCAAACTCTCCCGAGTGCATCCCTGCGTCCTATTTCCTTTCTCTGTACTTGCAGAACTAGAAGGTGGCCACTCCATCTGTCCCCTTGAATTCGTGCTGCTGCCGACCATGACCGGGGTAATAAATCTCTCTGACGCAGACTGAGAAGGACCGAGCAGCAGGAGGAAGGGAAGGGTTCAGAGACGCTGGTTTGGGTTGGGGGTGTGGTTTAGGTGCTTCTTTAAGGAATGATGTCAATTCTTTCAAGATATTCGTATTTCAATCCAGTCAAAGGGTAGCTTATTAATGACATAAATCATTCGTAAGAAATAGCGGTAACTTAAACTCTGCTTCCTTAAACACTTAATGTTTCTCCTATTACCTGGTTATATATTATCGGGAAGAAAACATTTTTTCATTAATCTAAACCATTCACCATTTACATAAGCATAAGAGCCAAATGAGTATAATTTGAATCTTGTTACCACTTTACTGATAATGGACTTCTAAGAAATGCCAAGCTTCCTCGATCACCTAAAACATTGTCCTCAAGTGGCAGATTGGAGAAATTCCTCTCACAGGGAGTCTGCATCTCTGAGCTACAGGTTAAATTGGAACAATGTATGTTTCCCACTAAACTGCTATCACTTACCAGTCAAGACCTCCCACAGGACCTCTCCCAAACAAGACTGTGGACAAGCAACACTACAGTGGGATCAAAAGGCTGACGCAGCGCCTAAGGTTCCAATCCCGATCCCCAGAAACCATTACAGAACCAGTGTCAACAGGCCCCAAGTCGGCCTGAAACGGGGTTTCTAGCACTTCCCGATGGTTGAGGTTTTTCAAATCACTACGTACCTCTCAGCTAGAGGTCAGGGACACAGCTCAGGCTGAGCCTACGTTAAATGTCACGGGGTGGGGATCCTGTACTGTCCTCGGCCACCATGACAGCGCCCGACATCAGTAGGTGCTCCAGAATTTGTTGAATCAATGAGTGACGCCGCAGAAATATTCTTACTCAAAATTCCTACTCAAAAGTAGCTATTAGGAAGATCTTCATTTTTCTTGCTTCTTATTCCCTATTCTACGCTCCACCCCTACCCTAAGGAAGCTAGAAAAGAAGAAAGTAGTATCAACCCTCTAAGGCTTAGCGGAACACAGGGGGACAGGAGTGTCAGCGCCCCCAGCCCTGTGCTGCTGCCCACTGTGCTGAACCCTCACACTGCTCACTGTGCTGAGCTCATGGGGAGGGCCGGGGAGGAGCTGCTGATGGTTGTCCTTACTACCTTCTTCTGGAAAGCAGCGTCCATGCCCATCCTCAAGCTCACCTTGGACAGTTTTCAGAGAGAAGCCGTAGCTGCTGCCCTCCTTCACCAGGTAGCAGAGGCGGGGCTGGGCCCAGGCATGCACCCCTCCATTCAGCACAGGCGGCAACTTCTTGTCATTCACATCCAATTCCTGGCTTTGACCCAGCTCTGTCAAGTTGACCTGTTTTTTCACGGCTTTCTCGTAGGAATCCCCGTCCAGAACCAGCAGAGTCACTGAATTCCCGCTCTTTCTGAACAGATCCACCACCTCGGAGAAAGGAAGCAAAAGGTCGCTTTAACCAGCAATCATCTATCGACGGCCAGAGGCGATGCTCTGGAGGCTCCGATAGGCCCCGACACCCAAGCAGTCGGCAGATGTTACCCCTGCCCTCCTGAGGCCCAGGTGGAGCTAGGCTGGGCTTGGCGCACCCTCGCTGTCTAGAATTTGGCCCCACCCAGACCAGGGGATTTCGCAAGGTCTGGTCCTTTCTAGGGATAAATGCTGGAGCACAAAAGTCCTCCTGGGTCTACGGGGACAGCCCAGCGCCATGAGAAGAGCTCCCGCTCGCAGGCAGACACATTTGGGGTAAGGTCAGACCCTTCCATGTGTTCCTGCACGAACATTCCAGCAGGCTCGGTTATCTGAGGAGCCACTTGCTTCTCTGTAAAATGGCAAGTTGTACCTCATGGGTTCTGGTAAAGATTTAACAGAATAACAGCTATGACAGGACCTAGCATCGCTCCTGGCCTGTCGCAAACAAGCAATGCACTCAGACCTGACACCATGCGAGTGTGCACTGGGCACTCCTATTCTAGTCGAGGCGTGAGCCTCGCAGCCCTGGGGAGGTGCAGGAAGCTTGGCTGGCTGGCCCTCAGGGTGTCTTGTCTCACCAGGGGCAGCCAGGGAAGCCCCACTGATCTCACAATCTCCAGTTATCAGAGATGGGGAGCCTGGGGAGAGCCTGCAAGCGGAACACCCGTGTCTCATTCACCTGCATATGTTCCTCCTTGTCGACAAAGACCCCGTTAATCCGCAGAACCCTGTCCCCGTCCTGCAGGCCGGCCTGCTCCGCCGGGCTGTTCTTCTCCACCAGCCGGACCAGGTGGCCGTCGGTGTCCTTCTCGATTCGCAGGAAGAAGCCATAGCTTTGTCCTTCTTGTTTGGAGAGCTTACATGCGCGGGGGTGGAAAGAGGAAGCCATTTCTGGGACGAGAAAAACAAATGGATAAAGTCATGGGAAAAAATTGAATTGGAGTGAGAACTTGTCCCGCATCTCCTACAATTCTGTTCTTCTAGTCACATCGCGTCTGGAAGGCTGGGAACGGCATGGGGTGGGTCTAGGGACCCCTTCCATGACTCGCTCATGATGGCTAAATCTATACAAGGCCCCCAGAGTGGACTTTCCCTGGAATTTCAGGCCCACGTACACGGCTGGGGCCTGGATACACAGGCTTCCTCTCCATAGCCCCCGAAACACGTTCCTAGGCCCCTGACCTAAAGCAACTGGGCTAAAAATATTAAGAAAACACAAGCCGCTTTCACTCAGATGTTTGGTGTAATTGCGCTGTTTGAGGCAACGCCGAGGAAGAGCCAGGTGTACCTGAGGGTGTTGGTTCACAGCTCGACAAGCCACATAACCACGCCGCCCCAGCGCCATCCCCTCAAACACTTGAAGAACCCCACAAGTTCTGGCACGGGGGTTAAATCTCAGGGCGAGACAAACCCACCGCTTTGCCTCTCCCGTCGGGGAGAACACACCTTCACAACAACTTGGGTGAATGATACTGTGAGAAAGAAGAGGGCGATGCGGGCCACGAGAACAAAGGGTCTCAGAAGCGGGGAGGCGCTGGGAAGAATCAAAGATGACTCCCCGGAGAAATGGCTTTTCCGAGACCAGGAGGAGGAGTGGGCGGGAAAGTGGGTCAGGACAAGGAGACCTCAAACAAGTTAAAAATATCAGCGCTGCCCTTTGGAGAGGCAGCCCGGGTGGTCGTCCAGAACAGGGAGGGATGCTCAGCAGCGGAAAATCCTCCTGTCATCGGGTCAAGCTTCCCTGCAGGAGCCGCACGTTCCCCGCCCTCCTGCCGCCCGGCTGGAGGAGCAACAGGAAGGCCAACAGCTGGGCTTTGGCGCCCAGTTTCTAGAAGTCTCTGGCATCTCCAGCCCCTCCTCGACGAGCTGAGAGCCCAGCCCTGCTGGCGTCTGCCGCGGCCAAGGAGCCGACGGCTGGGTTGGCTGGTCACGCTGCCCGCGGGGCAGGCCTCTCGTTCCCGGTGTCACAGTTTCCTATCGGCGAGTCATCTCTGACCCTTGTGGCCACAGACGTACAGTGCCAACGGGGCAGACACCTCCCACTGCGGTGACCTGGCCTCCTCGCCAGGCCTCACCTCCTGGCAGCCCCACTGCCAGCGGCGCGCATGGCCAAGCAGCCAGACGCAGGAAACAAACTGACACGGTGTCTTCCCAAAGCCCGGGCCTGAGCCTCCCTGGGTGTCAAGGGAAGAGGAGGGTGCAGGTGCCCACCGGGGAGCCCAGCAGCGCTGCCAGCACGGCCACCAGGAAGACGCTGCCCTGGGAGGAAAGGCGCGGGCGCTGGGGAGCCAGTGGGCGGCCTCTCGCGCAGCCAGCGGCGTCTGCTGGGGTAACCACCGTGGCGTCTAGACGGCTGCTGGGCATGGCCCCGGGTACGAGCGGGCGTGTCACCTGCAGGAAGGAACTGAGCCTGCTGCAGCTGCCCCCGCCCCGGGATGAACACCAATAACACCCGCAGGGCTGCCAGGACCAGTCGCTTCTTGACAAGCCCATGTTCCACACCGGCAGGGATCACAGCCTCTGACCAGCTTCCTCCTGCCGTCCACGGTGCTCATTTCCATGTTATCACAAACTTTCACCTGACTTGCCTAGCGTGTCTATGCCACCTCTGCTTGGCAGTTTTTAGCCTGTTTAAGCTTCTATTTTCTGGACCCCAGAACATCAGTCAGTCAAGGAATTCTTGAATCTTTATCTCCTAGGCTGCAATCCTAACAAAACCTCAAGTAAGCACTTACGAGACCTCAACCAGGTCGCATCCACCCTGGGTTAAGACGCCTTTGTCTGCAGAGCCTCTAGCCTAAGAGCACTTCTGGTTTTGGCTGGAATCCACATCTCTGTCCAAACCTAGATCCTATCAACTCTCCCCTTTATAGAGCTGAAAGCCTGGGGGTGGTGACAGGGCTTAGGAGGGTGAAACCCATGAAATTTGATGGCACTTACAGAACCTCATCCAAATGCTACAAAACTGCATGTTCTTATCATCCAAACAAAGACCATTAGATGTCACATTTCCATCAAGAGGCAGGGCTGTCTGTGAGCCGGATGGGATGGTTCATTTCTAAGGCACCCGACTTCACACCCAGCAGTGCAGCTGCACGATCTTAATCTCCCTCTCTGCAGGTAGAGGGTAGAAAGTGAAGCCTCCTACCAGGAGGGCTAGTTTGTGGGAGGAAAAAGAGACAAGGTTTTCCTGGGTTCTCAGTAGAGACCCACAAGCCTGACAAAGACAAATCACTATTTTTGGGCAAAATCTCAAGTTGTTTTTTTGTTTGTTTGGTTCAAGTGTTCAAGTAGCCAGATGGTAATTACTCAGCTCTGCTCCAGCTGCCCCACTGCCGCCAGCCGCCATATTTCCCTCCCGCCAATTCAGCCACTAAAGGACTAATCCTGGCGCCCATCCATCGGTGCCCACACCGGATTGATAAAATATTTAACACCTTCACTTGTGCCAATGGAGACAGTTGATCAAGACCCTAAAGGCCTGGCCTTACATGGGATGCTCCAGTCCTTGAAATGATTTGCTTTGCCATCTTGCCGAGTAACAATTCAACTAGGAGTCACGAGAGCTGGGCTCTGGTCAAGCTCCAGTCCTGGGTCTGTCTGGTCCATCTCCTGGGGTCACACTGGCCCCTGAATTAGGGCTGGATCCATCCCTTCAGCCAGACCTGTCACTGCTTCATAATAAGGATGCCAGGGACTCTAGAACATGGGACTGAATTAGGAAGGGTTTTTGTATTTTTTTTTAATTTAAATTTTATTTTTATATTCCCTATACAATTATAACCGCCTTTTTTTGACCCCAATCTCTCCTTTCCCCACCTCCACCCCCCATAGAGTGTCTCTGGTTCATAGTTGTTTGTTGATTTTGATATTTTCTTTCTTATAGTTATTCTTTTTCCTGGTCCCTTATTTAAGTTTTCTAGATTCCTGCTATGAGTGAGACCACCCGGTATTTTTCTTTCTGGCTTGTTTCGCTGAGCATGATCCCTTCCAGCTCCATCCATGTTGCTGCAAATTGCATGTGTTTATCTTTTTTGAATGCTGAGTAATACTCCATGGTGTATATGGACCACAGTAGGATCTTTGTATTTAAAGATCAGTCATCTCTTCCCCCCATCTTCTGCCTCCTAACAAAATCTGGTCATCTGACCCCTATGGCTACAGACAGACATATAACTAGGGAAGGCCTCGGAGTTTCTATATCATATCAGCAATCATCTGATGCTGGAGTCCATTAAATCTTCAGTGGGCTTAATTCCACAGCTCAAAGAGCCAAAATAAAATACTAGAAGTGAAAGAAAGCTATAATCATTTCTGAGTTCTGGGGAAAAAGTCGATTCTTGGCAGCAAAGTGGCTTGTCTGTGAGAAAGAGAACAAAGTGCTGGCTGCTGGTCAGGAAAGACCCAGGGGTGAGGGCCAAGGAGATTTTTTAATCAATTTTAATTATTAATTATACCTTTAGACCCCACATTCTTCTAAAAGGGTTAGACTATCATTACCAGGAAGGACAATGCTATGCCCATGGTCAAAAAGAAAAACTAGGTGCACTCTAGAGGGTAGTGAGGTCGGGAGCAACAAGGGAAGACCGTCGGGGTGGCCAGGGAAGAACTGTGCCCACGGAGCTATTTCCCACAGGTCAGCACCTGGAGAACCAGGGCCTGCTCCCAGGCAGCTACCAGCTTGGGCCTGAACGTGAGCCTGAGTGAACCAAGACCCATCTCCCCCGCAGCGGGTCTGTGGAGAGTTGACCTGGGAGCTGAAGCTGACCTGAGGGGACCGGACCCAGTGAGACCCAAGCAGCTGAGGCGCTTGAAGGCCAAGAAGAAGGCTCCGAACCCACACTTTGTGTTTGGGACTAAAGCAGCAGGGCTTTCCTCACAGGGCTGGTTGGGGAAAGAGAGTCCATTTTATTAGATCCTAATGTCAGTGGGCTGCTGAGAAGTGGGCACTCAAGGTCTCTGTGCTGAGAATGTTCCTGTGGAAATGTCCATTTAATTTTTTAAAATTTTTTGGTTTTTATTTTCCTTAAGATTTATTCATGCATAGAAGAACTGAGGTATAGACCAGAGGTGTGGGGGGTGAGAGGATTCACCAGAGACAGAGTGGGGAACAGAACAGGTGGATCTACTGAAATACACTGCTGAGGGGAGCAGCGGGGAGACAGGAGAGTCTGCTGCGCCATGTGGGTAGCTCCCTGGCCAGGGATCGAACTTGTGCTGCAGTGGCTGGTGATAGCTTCATAACACTGAGACTTTAACCCCTGCGCCACCAGGGAGGCCCCTCCGCTTAAAACATATCATGGGGACCTCCCTGGTGGCACAAGGGGTTAAGCACAGCATTATGAAACAAACTGCAGCCTCTGAAGCACGAGTTCAATCCCCGGCCGGCCAGGGAGCAACTCACATGGCACAGCAGACCTCTCCTGACTTGCCCGCTGCTCCCTTCAGCAGTGTACTTTGGTCAATCTGCCTGTTCTGTTCCCCACTGTCTCTGGTGAATCCTCTCACCCCCCACATCTCTGGCCTGTACCCCGCTCTTGTATGCATAAATAAATCTTTTTAAAAAATAAATAAAATAAAACATATCATGGATGGGCCTCCCTGGTGGCCTAGAGGTTATGTCTCACAGCCATCACCATCACGGCCTGAGTTTGATCCCTGCCCAGGGAGGTGACCCACATGGCACAGCAGACCTCTCCTGTCTCGCCCACTGCTCCCCTCAGCAGTGTATTTCGGTCAATCTGCCTGTTCTGTTCCCCACTCTGTCTCTGGCTAATCCTCTTACCCCCACCTCTGGCCTGTACCTCAGTTCTTCTATGCAAAAATAAATAAATTTTAAAGAAACGGTGAACCTGGGTTCCCTGGAACATCTGCTGCCCTAAAGCAAAGTT